AAAAAAAAAAAAAAAAAGCCTGAAACACTTCAATTTTGACATGAAGATTTAAAGTTAGGAATCGTTGGAGGAAAAAAGCCTCAGATAAAATTTTATTGTATCTAATAAAAAGAGCCAGGAATTAAAAAGATAATTACACAGAAACAAACACTCGTGAAACCAGTGAAGAGTTAAAAGACAGACATGATCCAGAGGTGTGTGTTTTAGTTTTATGTCATATTTTTATTAATCCTTTTCCTGCTTTTTTCTCATTGCTAAAATAACTTGGCCATATTCAGTTGGCAACTCTTGAACATTCCTTTGTGTTTACTTTCTGCAGTTTATGGTTTAGACTCTTTTGTTATGTTAGATGTTTCCCTTTGGGTTTGTAGATTATTTGCACTTAGTTCAACTCTCTGTGGCAATTAGTTTCCCTCTCTCAGTCGTTCAGCATCCCCCAAATTAGGCCCTCCTGGTTGCTGTCACTCTTCACTCCTCACTAGTATTTAAGCTTAACTGTTTCATGTTTTCTCCACTTGTGGTTCAGTGGAGTCTCGAAGCAATAGAACTAGATTTTCAGCTTGTTTCAGAATGATAGATATTATAAATTATTATTTCGATTCAGAAGAAAACTTGACTTTTGAATTTTTTTCACCTGCTTCATGTATCCAGTCATGTGCAATAGGAGCTCTTATACCTTATGCATTCACACAGGGTGGTTTAGATAGTTTCTTTCTTCAATTAACTGAAATTATAATTATTGGTTACTTATCTTTGTCTGCATCAAAGTTTCTTCAAAATCTGTGAGGGTGCAAATAAAAAATTTAAGTAGTCTTAAAATAACTGCATGTATTAACTGATAATCAAAGCTTGGAGGTTGTTTTAATATCTAATTCCAAATATTTATTATTATCTGTAGTGTATTAAATAGGCGCATTAAAAGAAGCTCAGAGAAAAAGCAGCTTTATAGGTTTAGTTAAACTTGGGTTAACTGTTGGTGAGTCAGAACCAATGGATAAATACAGTTTACAGATCTGACAACTGTATCGTTTTGTTTCCACCTTAAAACTAATTAAAGCGCCCAAGACGAGGTTGTCGCGTGGTCGTATCATTACCCTCACTCAGTCGTTTCACAGTACGTAGTTATTAGTGAGCCTCCACTAAATACAGCGGTCCTCAGGCAGCCAGTGTCATTTTACTCTGCAGCTGCGGGCCAATGCAAGCGCCCACTCTAACCTCCATCAGTCAGGGGGACTTTAATAAATAACATGCCATTCAAGGAGTTTGGATCTCTTCTTTGAGATTTACTCAGGCATGGACAGTGAGGAGTTTAACAGGAAGTTATGATGCTGGTTTATTTGGCTGTCAGTCTGCAGGAACACTGAGCCCCTCCTGTCAATTAATATAAGCCTTCTAACCGTTCGAAAGCTGTAAATCTTAATAAGCAGATTGGATAAAACTGAGTGGGAAGTGACAGTTGCCCTGATTATTTTAAGGTTGCCCTGCTACTTATTATGCAGTGGGCACATGGATATATTTGATCCCTAAAATGATGCCTTGAGGCTCCAAACTTTTAATCCAGTTATTTTATGGCATTATCTCTTTATGGCATATATATTAAAGTTTTAGTTTTTTATGAAGTATTCATAAACTTATTAGACTCTTGAAAAACAACATTGGAAAAGAAAAAACAAATATGATATTTGATATTGCCGATTAGCCATGCTTGAGGGCAGGAGCTAAATCCTGTGAAATAGAAAATTAAAGTCCTCCCTGGAACAATTTATGGCAAAATAAGTTAAACAAGAAAAAAGGGAGAAAGGATAACAGGCAGGACCGGCCACCTATAGATTCACAGGCGTGACTTTCTGAAGGACTGGTGTGGACATGTCCCCTCCAATAATTTTAATACGTAAACTTTAGCTCTCAATAATCTGTGGGACAAATTTCTAAATTGATTTTTGTTGATTTTGAAGGAAGATAATTACTAATGTAGCTGAAACGGAAAACATCCTTCAATCCGAATTTTTATGGATGGATGGATGGATGGATGGATGGACGGATGGATGGATGGATGGATGGATGGATGGATGGATGGATGGATGGATGGATCTGAACTGGTTTCCATACTAGGGAGGCAAGATATATTGCTGTTGGCAATGGAATCGGCTGTTACTCATCCTTTTTTTGTTATACATTAATTTCTAACTACATATAAATATAAATATCATTGCATTTTGGTTCTTTGGTGTTCTCAACAATAGGAAACAATTCAATAAATATAGGTTTTATTTGGAAAATACAAAAACCTATTGAAAGCGTTTGTGTCGAGCAACTGTAGGTCGATCAGCCGCCACCCTTAGAGCGTCCCCGCCAACTTTCATTACAAATTTACACCCTTGTATAGATTTGAGAGACAACTGACTGACCAGTGCTAGTTTTCAGATCCTCATCTACTCCCCTGCCAAGACAGAAAGACAAATGGATGATCACTCAGACAGATTGATGTCAGCCCACCTACATGACCGGATGGGAGGGAACATAAAAGGCTGCATTTCAGATTTGTGGTTGTTACTGTTTTCAAGGGGTGAAAAATGTGCAGGGAGATGTCATAAAGGTTCCTCAGTGATTTCTTCTAAGAAAGCCAGACCCCTGAAATTTTAAAATCATTTTCAGGCCAGTAATGTGGTTATAAATTAAGACAGCAATGAAAGCAATGCAGGGAAAACCATATTTAAAATTGTTGGCTCTGCAGTAGCTATCAATTCTGTAAGGGGAGCAGACTGCCAATAGCCATTTCTTTAAAGATCATTGAAACCCTTCTGTTGACAACTGGTTTTTCTAGTTTATCTGCAAGCTAATGCTTAGTTAACAGAGCAGTACAGCTAACCTTTTTAGGAATTAGGAGGTATTAGTTTAAAGGTGCAGTATAATATTAGCCATTCCAAATTTCCCCACTTTCCTTGATGGGTCCCCTGTGTGTATTTATAAACACTACACAAAGTATGAATTGGTGGGCCCCCAAGACTCAATACTTTAGATTTTGTCCCAGGCCCAGCCAAGGCTGTCAGCTGGTCTGATGCTAAAGGAAGTCTCCAAAAACCCGTGATAGGACCTGTAGCAGGCTCTTGCTACCAATTGTGTAAATATGCACGATTGTACAGTCATATGACATTTGCAAGAAGAAAACTTGTGCTTTTGAAGAAAAACTTGAAGTTCAGACTTGAGGTTTGTACACTATAAAAAGTCAAAGATTGCTGTTGGTCATTTAGTATGTTTTATTTTTGTGTGTATATATATATATGTAAATATATATCTTTGTGTGTGTATAAATGTGTGTATATATATATATATATATATATATATATATTGATTGATCACTCTTTGAATGAGGTCTTGCCTAAAATATTACATTTTAAGTAACCTTTTCTGGAAGCAAGAGAAACATATTTAACAGTTAATTAAATAAGTTAAAAATATTTTATTATTTATCTATTAAGGATTTAAAAAAACTATATTTATTTAATGCATTCATCTCAAGTAACATTTCAATGTTTTAATTTACAAATACAGATCCTTCCAGTTTTTAATTTAATAATATGCGGCACATTTGGCTTTCCATACCGGCTACAATCGCATTTGATCCCGTTTATAGATTTTTACTTGTGTGACTTGAAATTGTGTCATATGTTTAAATTGGACCACAAAATGCTTTGGTCAAAATCTTTAGTAAGCAGTTAAGGCTGTATAGCAGGATTGTCTATTTGCATTGTTGCAGCCGTGGATGCGCCATGAAGTCACATCAGCCAAATTCAAAACCTCTCAACCTCTTAACAATACCCATTGGTCCATTAATTATAACTTGATCTAGCAAAGAGAGGAAACAAACCATTGACAGAAACGGCTGAGTATTTTAATCCATCAAGCTATGTCCGCCTTTTTAGGCTTTTACAGTTGAGGTCGATCTAAAGTGAAGCCATCCCTGCGGCTTGAGGCAGCTTCTTCAGGGGAGAGCTGCTGTACCCTTGATGTTAAAGTCATGGAGCTGCTGCCTGACCGTGTACGAAGGGGAAGATTAAGGTTTTTATTTTCCTGTCTCCACTTGCAGAACAGCCAGCCTCATGTATAGCAGCTTGACAAACATCAGAGAAACTGCATCAGCAGCATAACCAGCTAGAAGGAATGGCTGGTGAGGGTAATCCCCAATACTGCAGTGGATAATTGAAAGAAAGTAACAATAGGAATTCCGTAAAAGTTAAAAAAAAAATCCACTGGACTTGGTTTCCAAGATTTGAAGACGTTTGGCCACATCTCCAGGAAGCTTTCTCAATTCAAATGTCTGGATCTGCAGTGAGTTTGAGGCTTTATATAGACAAGGTCTTATATTGCTTGGAAGCATGCAAATGGAAAATGATGAGTGGGTCGTTTTCCAGTGGGTTGTGGGTCGGTTTCCATTTGCATGTTTCCAAGCAATAAAAGGCCTTGTCTATATAAAGCCTCAAACTCACTGCGGATCCAGACATTTGATTGAGAAAGCTTCCTGGAGGGGAAGCGAAACGTCTACAAATCTTGGAAACCAAGTCCAGTGGATTTTTTTGAACTTTTACGAAATGACTATGACATGGATGACTGAGAAACTTCATCAGCAATAATAGGAATAGATATTTTTCAAGAAACGTGGCAAACATGTTTAAAAAACTAATTATATTTGTTGCAAAAGACCCCTCGAATCTGGGCTCTGGACAATCAGCTGGGTTGTTGCTCCTCTTCGGCAGGTGTGTTTAGCATGTTAGCATTGTTTTGTCCTGATTCCCACAGCCAGTTCTTTGAAAGGGATTTTTAGATGACCAAAAACAGCATTTTATTACAGTTTACTCCCCAAAAAAACAAAAATAAAAAGGAAAAGGAAACCCTAACCAACTTTAAAAGCTTTGTACTATAGTCTGTGATCCTATATAGAATAAATGTAACCAACGAAGTGAGGAAATAATTATTGAACTTCTCCACAGAACAGGAAAACAGTAATTGTAAAGTCTTTAATTCAGTGCCTGGGTGAAACAGTACAGCGCAATTGGTCATCAAAAAAAAAGCATATTCACAGATACAGTTGAGACATCTGAAACACTGAGGCTACATATGCCTGTAAAATAAAAGCAAAGAAGTATGAAACTCTGACTAGTTCTGAATGCTGGTTTTACTGACAATTAGCCACTTTTTCAGTCTGCGTATATAAAAGTTTAACAAAGTGTTAAAATGGCAAAATAATTATCTTAGAGTTTTCTCAGAATTTTCCATTTTGATGAAAAAGTATTGCCCCTTAGATGTCCTACATGGATAATTTAAACCAGTTAAATGCACCAGCATTTGAAAGCCATCAGTAAAAATGTTCATAGCGTTTTGTTATCATATATAAGAGAAACCGGGAGTGTGATAAGGCACAATTTCTTATCAAAACCTATATGTTGTGTAGAAATATAATGAGAGTATCCATTTTTCCTTTTATAACTTCATTTGAAAATAAATACCTAATATCTTCTTTTAGAAATAATCCTCATAAATTTGCTGTAATCCATCATTACCCCAAATCTACACTGGAACTGGGAAGAATAAGAAGAAAAAGCTTTCTAAAAAGAAATAGAGAAAGTAAAGGATGGATAAAGACAAAGGAAACATTCAGAACATAACAATTGAACACAAATAATAAAACATTGTCATATACACTTTTTTAAAACAAGATTTAATTCGGGAATGATACTGGTTTACGTCTTAAAGGAAATATGTGCCAATGTTCTGGGTTTAAAAAGGACCAAAGGCGTTCTGCTAGAGCCTTTTCTTTGGTGTTTATGGATGCTGCATGTCCTGCCAGGCTAGAAAACTCCTCAGGCAGCAGTTCATCCGATGCCACATGTTAACAAGCAAGTGTAAAATGTAAAAGAAAGGGGATCAAAATTTACCTGCTGAGTTTACAAAACAATGTGTCAACTAGAGCCCTGAACACAGAGGACCAAAGGAAAAGAAGGATGGATTTATTATTTAGAGGGCGATGTGAAGGCGTTCTCTATGCAAAGGACGACGTAGGAGCTGGAACAGCTGCTGGGCGTCTGCTGCAGGAGATGGCCGCTCTGCAGGGACGACGCCAGGCCTGTCACCGCGCGATCGCCCGCCCGCCATGTTTCACAGTAATGATCCATTTGCCGATGGCCCTTTTTGCTAGATCCGTGCCAGACCATCTTTTCTGGCCTGGAGGGGAGCAAAAAAAACAAACAACAACAACTTTAAATCAGGCGTGGAAACACACACTGTCACGGATTAAAATCTGGCCTGGTTAACAAGGACTCACCATGCACTGTCCCTGAGGATGTCTCTACCATCAAACGAGTATAAAGGTACATTCTCCCTCATTTTGCTTTTGTCTTCACTGAAGATGGACTCCCAGCTGCTGAACAACACTTGGTTCTGAAAGGAGACAATTAATTCAATCAAGTTTAAATTCACAAACACAAATTGAATTCTTTTAAAGCACCATTCAGAATGAAAACAACACATCTCAATAGCAGCAGATGTTAAAGGGATAGTTCGGGATTTTTGACATGAATCTGTATGGCATCCCCATCCCCAGTGTCATGTAATCACACTGACTTACCCCTGGCAGCATCCTGTGAGCAGAGTTCTCGTCCAGCTTTGGTCAAGCCGAAAGTAGTCCGGCAGGTTTGCTAGACCCAGCGAAATAAAACGTTTCTCTTCCCAAAACATTATGTGTTCAAAAGAGTGATATTTTTGCATCCCAAAAACATTGTAGTGGAAAAAGTCACACGTCGTTATCACTTGGTCCTATTTTCTCTCTGTTCGTATCAGTGCGCGCGACACCATGACCTGACAGCTAGGGCCTACTAACCTGACAACAGCCAGATGCATGCCTCGGCTGTTGTCAGGTTAAGGGCCTACCTGTTTGATTCGCGATTGTTTACTACTGGGGAAGATGTCTGACTACGAGAGCGACGAGGAAAACATCGACTTCCACTTAGAGCCAAAGGGATATCTTTATGAACCCGAGTACACTGACGATGAACTTCGACAAATGGAGTTAGATCGGGCAGAAAGAGAGAGGGTGGACAGAGAAGTGATGGAAGCTGAAGCCGGAGCCGCAGGAGGCTCAGCTGGAGCTGCGATATCCAGGGTGGCCGACAAATCATGGTGCACTTGTTTCAAGTGCGAATTAATGCAGACAGAGGTGGATGCTACTGTTGCCACGAGTGGGATTTAGTAATGCCCGAGATACAGAACCTTTCCATTGATGAGGATGTCGGAGTTGCAGCAGCTGCTGTCTGCATCACAAACCACAGCGACTTCCCTGCCCTCCTCAAAGTTGAGCTCGCTGTCAGAATGACGGCGCGCACTGATACGAACAGAGAGAAAATAGGACCAAGTGATAACGACGTGTGACTTTTTCCACTACAATGTTTTTGGGATGCAAAAATATCACTCTTTTGAACACATAATGTTTTGGGAAGAGAAACGTTTTATTTCGCTGGGTCTAGCAAACCTGCCGGACTACTTTCGGCTTGACCAAAGCTGGACGAGAACTCTGCTCACAGGATGCTGCCAGGGGTAAGTCAGTGTGATTGCATGACACTGGTGATGGGGATGCCATACAGATTCATGTCAAAAATCCCGAACTATCCCTTTAATATTGCAATGAAATATATATATATATATACGCATATTTTTGTTGAATGCTACACTGCTTTTGTGATCACTTCTCTTAAAAACAGATTGTAAAGTTAAGATTACTTTTTAAAGGTGGATCAATATCAGATTTATTGAATGAAATTCAGCAGCTGAATTCAAGCAGATTTGTTGATAATGCATGTCCAGAGCGGTAGTGTCTCACCTTGAGGTTCATGATGGGGAATGAATCTCGGTCCGACCTGCGGACGATGGTGTAGAGGTCCTGAAGCTTGGAGGACAGGAAGGCCCTGAATGTTCCTTTAAGACCAACAGCTCGAGCCTGTTGGAAGCACAGGAAGTCTGCACCACGAATCCCTCGCATGTTGCCAGACTGAGGGGCGTTCAAGGCAATGAGGTGGAGCTGAAAAGGACAGAACTTCTTTGAGTGTTTATACCTTTTGCTCTTTATTAGCACTTCCAGGATTGCTGTAGAGAAAATGCAAATATCTTGCATGTTTCTAAGCCAAAACAAGGCCTCAAACTCAACAATAATTCTGTCATTTTGAAATGAAAAAGCCTCCTGCATGGGAAGCAAAATGTCTTCAAACTCGGAAACAACGTCCAGTGGATTGTTTAATTTTCCTTTTTTGGAATGACTATGACCTGGATGACGTAGAATCAAAGCAAACAGACCCACAGCACCACATAACCTCCACCAAGCATAATGGTGGGCAGCAGTTTCTTTAAACACTTAAAGTTTACTTCAAAGCAGATCCACTTGAAGAATTTGCTGCTGAAAAGCAGAATCTGACTGTCACCTGATCAAAGCTAAGTCTCAGTAGAGTACAGAAAACTCCACATAGATCTGTTTGTGATCGCAGGATAGAGGTAGCCTGACGTAGTCCTACTCAATTCTAGTCAGAATATGAGTCTGATGCTGCTCCATAGAGCTGTGATTATGGGGCGTGTTTCGAAAGAACCAGGAAAAAAAATGCCTCTGCACTCAATTGGATAGACCTACAACCAATAAGAGCAACGGAGTGCGTGACGTATGTTAAGCGACGCATAGTTGTTGTCAACAAAAATCAAAGCGTGCAGTTGCACGCCTAGAATAAGAAGATGAGCCTTGATCTCGTTTCTCTGTTCCTCTTTTAAAATTTATTTGCTGTCGATATCTTCTAGAACAGACCTAGTAGCAGAATCTACACACCTCAACTCTCCAGCGGCAGCCATTGTTGTTGTCACCCAAGCGCGCTTTGGTGACGTGGTTGATTACGTTACTGTTGATCATCTGTCCATCATCGTATAAAGCCCTCCCTGACAATTTGATTGGCCCGCCAGATATTGTGCGAGCATACTCGCGCTACTATTGAGCAATGCCAGACCGAACTTCCCGACCTCAAACGTTGTGGGCGGGACTAAGTTCGGAATGGCAACCAGGCTAGGACAGAGGGGGCTTTCCTGTCATTCTTCTTAACAAAGTAGCAAGCATGTATTTTGTGGCCTTGTCCAACATTTTTTTGTTACAGTTCTAGTCGGTTCAAACACGTCTTGTTCTGTTTCATTCCTTCCTGACTCCCAGTGGCGCTAATGCTCCAAGCATATTAAAATAAAATGAAAAAAATTCAGGCAATTGACATGCAGCCCACCTCAGCGTGAGTCTATAAATAGCATGTTGAAGGCTACGTTTGGTCTCTTTGATCAGAAAATATTTCAGTATATCTCAAATTCAGCTCAAAATTTAGCCAGTGTTGCTTTAATCTAACTTAGACAACAGGTTCAGCCCAGCAGCTGCTTTCTTATAGTAATTTCTGACTGATTTCCTGACTTATTTCCTATTTTAAAGAGTGGATCCTGATAGGAAATTATCTCGGCATTTTGTCATATTTACATAAAGGGGAAACAGGAAGTCATAGATTACAATTAATTTAAAAACAAGTTTAAAAAATATTTGATTATTTTTATTTTAAAGTTATTCTGGGGAAGTCAATGGTTGTGGTTGTGGCACCACTATGGGTTTTGTTTGAATACATAAAAACAGTGATTCATTGAAGAAATGGACTAATATCTAAGGTTTGATTTTTCGATTTTTTTTTAAAGTGGAAGGTGTTTCCAGGTTTGTTAGATTTTAATGCAGAAGTTTATAATTGTTGATGGTCCTGTAGTCTCTGGTACAAACTTATCATGAACCTTGATGGTTTAATGCTCAGTTCTTCACTTTAGGCTGCAGTCATAGGCTTTAATCTATATTTTCTCAGCTATACTCACTCCTGATTCTGAAGAGTCGGCTGCAGCCACGGGGGGGCTGGGCTGCTGCGGCAGGATCTCAATGGGTCGGATGACTGCACTGCCCTCGGAATAACGACCTGCTCCATTGTTGGCGTTCCTTTCAGGGGTGTGGGGGTACACAACCACCGGTGGAGGCTGGACTTCTGCCACCTCATTGCCCTTTACATAAAAAGCAAAGAGATTCAGTGATCAGACACCAGTCAGTTAAAGTCAAAGTGAGTTATTCTTGTTTGTTCTTCAAAACGTACCAGATCTCCAAAGAAGGTTCTGTACTCTCCGAGCTGAGGAGAACAACCATTGGTCAGAACTTCATAACAAAGTCTTGTATGTTATAATAAAACAGAGGCATGCTAACATCTTTAGAACTTTCTTTTCATCAAACTTTGAAGCTAGAAATCAAAGTTAATGCAGGGTAGACATACTAGGACTTGTCGAATCCCATCTCGCACTCTCAGATAAAGGTCTGCTTTGTCCAGTATGTATATGAGACTTCCCTCAGGCTGCTGCCTGGCTGTAGCAATCATGATGTCATATGACCTCAACACCATCACCTTGTGAATAAAATATAATACATTTTAAGGTAAAAAAAAATGTAAGTAAAAAAACAGAAGCCATATTTCGTTTAATGAAAAAGTGATGACATATTAACTGAAGGAAACAAAATGGAGATGGCACGTACCCCAGAGGAGACACCAGGACTTCCAGGTGGGCCTGGGGGGCCTGGAGGTCCAGGGATACTGACAGCTTTAGGTCAAAACACAAAGTGTCAAAAAGTCATCACATCCATCAGGTTCATTTCTAAGTTGAAAGACTGTAAGCCTAATTTATGCATATAATAAGATGTACAATTACATCTAATATATAATGTTTTGGCCCATTCTTTTCTACTCTTTGACTCAAGAACCCTTGATTACAGACAACTTCATGATCAATGTAGAGATCAATGTGTTCCTATACCCTGTGGACTCAAAACAAGCCCAAATCATAATCCTCCCAATACTGTGCATAACAGCTAGCATAAGACGTCTGTGCTCAGAGGCTGCATTTTGTTTTCTCCACACATGGTGCTTCAGTTTCATCTGTCAAGAGCACATTGTTCCTCAGTTTTTCTTCTTCATTCAGATTCAGGTTTGCAAACCTGCATATTGCTGCCATGTAACCTTTAATCTGCTGAATTTTCTTTATTTCTATTTTTTTTTCTTATTGTCATCTACTGGAGATGTTGTTCTCTGTGAAAATTGGAAGTTACATCCCCCAATTATTAATTATCTATCTGAAGAATGATTCAATTTAAATAGTTTGGAATTTGAGGGCTACATGATGATGCAGTTTATAGCACTGTTTCCTTGCAGGATGAAGGTCCTTGGTTTGACACCTGGCCTAGATTTTTTCTGAACGTGTGTGCATGTTCTCCCCGGGCATGCTTGGTTTCTCCGGCTTCCTCCCATAGTTCAAAATATGAATGCTAGTGGGGTCTCTAAATTGCCCTTGTGTGCATGTGAGTGGGTTTGTGCGCATGGTTGTATGTCTCTGTCCTGCGATGGATTGGCGACCCGTTTGGGGCGTACCTTTCTATACACCCATAGACTCCTGAAGATAGGCAAAGCCCCGTCTGACCGGGAAGATGCATCACTGGATGGTAGTTTGGAAATAGGTTTATAACCTTTAGGTTTGTAGGTTTGTAAGATTGATGGGCAGCAACATTCCCAAACCCTCTGTTTTTATGGTTGTGATAGAGGGTGTTTTTTTCCACAATGTTTTCTCTTATCACTGTGGGTTTTTTGTTAAAGGACTTTGGATTCTGGCAGACAACATTTGTTGCTTCTTCAGCAAATAAAACCAGGAAAACCTTGTACTGAATTAAAAAATATATTTGATAGATTCCCCTGCAAACAAAGAATCTCTGTGTTTTATTAGTTTTAAAAGTACTATTTGTCCAACTAACACAGGATCTTAATACAACTTCTATTGAGACTATCGTGTTTGACAACCTGACTCCAAAAAGGAAAATCTACTTACGATAGTTGGGCCTGTATGTTCCAGAGAATGAGGGAGACCCTGGCGGTCCTGGAGGTCCAGGTGGTCCTGCTGGACCTGGACGTCCATCATAACCAGCACCTGGGGGTCCTGGAGGTCCTTGAGGTCCAGGAGGGCCCACTATAGTCTCACCCTTTGGACCCTAACAGGAAAGCAAATCAGAGTTTAGTTTTCAGACTTTGGTGAAGAAAAAAGAAAAGAAAAAAAAAATAGAAGCCAAATAATACAAATAAAAATGTTCTGTAAAGTTGATTTTCTTTGTGCCGACTGGCTCTTGAAGAACGCTGGAACTGGGTCGAGGTGAGGGCTTATTTTTTACTAGCGTAGGCTCTTAAGGTTTTATCATTTACACTCATTTCTTTTATCTCTCCATTTGATATAATTCTTCTGCTGCATTGAATAAACCTGGAAGCTGAACAGTTCTGATCAGCTGTTTTTAATCATTCCTTAACAGCATCAGTGTGATATTTAGATGACTGTACAATAAAAACAAAAAACATTTAATATTGAAGTCAGAAACTGTGTGCTGAACCGAGTGACCATCTTGCTAATAAATATTGCAGACGATGTCAACTACGACAAATCTCGGGTGACCAGATCTAAAAAAAAAAATAAAAAAAATTGGGCCAACTAAGATAATTATGAAATGTAGATTTACATTTCGCTCTACTCGTGTCAAATCTGAAATAACTTTGGGAAACTTCACGAAAAGCTCTCTGATAATCACCTGCCACCAGTTATAACTTATTTCACAGTCTTTGTTGTCGCTGTTTTAGTTTCTTTAAACGTAGTTTCTTTTACATTTTGCATTAAAATATTTTACCTCTTCTGTTTTAAGAGCATCAACCAGAGCTTGCTAGTGATGCTATGCAGAGATGGCAAAAGTACTCACTTTCCGTGCTTGAGTAAAAGTACAGATACTTCTTTACTCAAGTAAAAGTAACAAAGTACAGGCTTGTAAATCTACTTACAGTAAAGTATAAAAGTAAAAGTAGAAACCACTTTTTTCATGCCGTTGCCTACATTTTAAATGGATGTCTGCCAATAGGACTAGATCTCCGTTGCGTTCATTTTCAATCATCTCGTCGTCCATACTACTATGCTAACGCCACCGCCACCAAGCTGCAATGATTTGCCGCGAATGAATACCGCCGAATCTGACGATTCATCTTGTAGTGGTGCGTCAAATGCAACGTAGATTCCCATCCAATTAGATTGAATTTGGTATTGATGACGTGAAAAATAATAACTGTAACTCCATTGAAATGATTCAAAACTAAAGTAACGAGCCAATTTTTTAAAATGTAAGGAGTAGAAAGTACAGATATTTGTGTAAAAATGTAAGGAGTAGAAGTAAAAAGTTGGCATAAAAATAAGTAGTAAAGAAAAGTAAAAATATCAGAAAAATCTACTTGAGTACAGTAACGAAGTATTTGTACTTCGTTACTTCCCATCTCTGATGCTATGTCACCTTGTTTAAGAAAAGATTTTTTTTTTATATTTTACTTTTTTTTTTCTTTGCTTTACCCTGTGATCCATCAGGTAGAAGTATTAAGAGCTGGAAGATGACATCCCAAAAGCCATTTGTTACATCTTGAATCAGAGTGCAGCTCCAATCTGCAGGCTTGAATTTACAACTGATTCTCTAATCCAGATTTGGTCAAATCTTATCATACAGGCTTGTCTATATCCACACCATTTGGCTGACGGCCTTTTTGCAAGTTGCACTGACCACTTGGTTTTTATACCAATCCAGATCCTACTAGTGTTTTTTTCAGCAAGTATATTTAATATTCTTGCATGAAATTGTTAGAGGTGAGTATTGGCATGAGTGTTGCGATTCGATACATGTTGCGATACTTGGGTCACGATACGATATTATCACGATATTGCAGTATCACTATATATTGCCATATTTTCCCCAGCTATCAAAATCAAATGATGAGATAAAACAGCAAGTGCTGTATATTTTCATCAGAAAATATTGATTAGGTATTATTATCCATGTTGTTTGGGGTTTTCTTCTACTGTGACTGCCTCAAATACAGATTTGGTGCTGCACGCACAGTTAAAGGGCTCCACAGCGCTTTCTGCCAGAGTGGTGGTGCAGAGGTAGCACATTTTCCCATCAATGTTTTATGTAACCATTTTTTTTTTTAAATCGATACTAAGAAGTGAAAAATCGATATTATATTGGGCAGCCGAATATCACGATATATCGCCAAAACGATTATTTCCCACACCCCTAGAAATTGTAGAGTTTATTTAATCTGGTGGATTGTCTTGCAAAGATCCAGATTTAAAAGACTGAGCGCTGAAATAATTAATCAGAATAATCTTGATTAATCTGAATAATTAAATAATCATCAAATAATTTAGCAATCGATTAATCTATAAGTGGTGCATAGAGACTATAAAAAATCCCTGTAGCTGACAGAGTCACTCACTTACAGCAGTAACCAAGATTGTTAAAAAAAAATATTGAAACATTTTGCATTTAAGATAAAAGAAAAAAAAAGAAATCTGTCAATATGTTCTATCCATAACTCCTCTGGTGGAAAAATTTAGTTTCACCTGGTTTAATTTCATGAACATTCTTCTTTGAGGAATCTTTGGCTTTACCATTATTAATTGATTAATCGAAAAAATAATTTTCAGATTAATAAATTTGTAAAAAAAATTGTTAGTTGCAGCCTTATTGTACATTAATTTTCAAAGTTGTCATCCACTGGAAAACAGGTTTGAAACTTTATTTTTTGGCCTTATTTTCTAAGGCTATTCCTCAATGAAAATGATGCACAAATTGGTATTTAGCAAGTTTCAAGCATTTCTGAGTAATCCTCATCACACAGTCCCCATCCTTGAAAAACAAGTGAGCAGGAACAATCTACATAGAGCCCTTAATATCGGCCTCCTCTGGAAGAACCTACCTTAAATATGGCATGCCTGTCCAATGTGAGGCAGAGCGTGATCATGCTAGTCAAAGTTAAAGACGAAGTAGCTAATTAAGCAGCTAATCTACACAATGACAGAAACTGTTCTTTTTCAATGTAATACCTAAGAAGCAAAGTGTGTTTTCTAGCTGTGAGATAAGGTCTAATACTTTCGTAAAGAGGAGCCAAATCCCATGAAATGGTGTGATACTGCAGCACCTTTTAGAAAATATAATGATATGGCGCCACTGCACGATGAGAGGCAGTGTCACACTAAAAGCAGGTGTTTTTCTTCAGGCTGGAAGTAAAACAACTAATATTTTATAATAAATGAATACTTTGTAGTTCCAAAGTATAGCCTTCCAAAGCAAAATATATATGGATAGTTGACTAGTGTTAAAAAGCTTTATATATAATCTTTAATGGCTCCAAATGGCTGCAGTTTTTTACCTGCTCTGGGGGTGTTTGTTTAGTAGAGTTGTGTTAATTGCCGTTTTTCAAAATGGTTTTGTAGGTTGGCTATTTTTCTTTCTTTCTTTTTTTATATTAATAACTGAACTATATTTATTTCCTTTATGTCTTTCTCTATGTTTCTTTTCTCCTCAGCTATACAGATCAACTTCTTCATATAACCCTCCACCATAACCTTCAGACCTTCAATGGAACAACTCGGAAAAACAGCCTCTTAGTTTTTCAGTCTGTATGTGTGCAGCTCTCTCTGAACTTACTGGTAGGCCTGGGTTTCCTGGAGGTCCTGGTGGACCCAGTGGTCCTCCAAAACGTGGGTCATAATATCCACCACCTGGCTCTCCCTTCTCTCCCTTCACTCCTGGATCTCCATGTTCTCCCTTCAACTTATTCTGTTGAAGAACATTATGATCTTCTATAAGTTTACTGTAATCCAGAATAATGAGATATCCAAACTCATGAGGTGAAGAGAAAAGGGAGGGTTACCTTGAGTGAGTAAATATCGATATCTGAAGCTGTCCCTGTGAGAAAGAGAAAAAGGTGTTTTAAAGATTCAAAAATTCCATAGAGAATGCATACATACAGAGTGAGTTTAATGTTTCAGGTTTACCTGGGATCCCAGGAGGTCCACGGTCTCCTTTTTCTCCTTTGACCACTGCAACAGAAAAAACACTTTACCACAAGTTACACACAACAAACACAAGTGGAAATACTATATAGTGCAGCTAAAAACAATGCTTAATGTCTGATCTCCTCTTTTAAACCATAGATTTTCTGCAAAGGTGAAAGTAGAGAAAAAAGTCTGTACATTTCCAACAGTTTAAATACTTTATCTGTTATTATCTGTTAATATGGATGACTGTCATGCTAGTCTATCCCAGTGAGTTGTATCAAACCCATACCTTGGTAACTCCTTGAATTTTCATCAAAGCGCTAAAAAAAGGACAAAGGAATGCCATAAAAACCAGAATCACTTTAAAGGTAGATATGCTGCATTAGCTTGACATGGAACACTTAATGTTGCTCTTCTGGACTCACATTAAATCGATCCACAGAAATGGCCGGCCCCGGTGGTCCAGGTGGTCCTGGCGGTCCTGGTGGACCTGCCACTCCCTATAGAAAACACAGTACTTCACTTTATGGTCCATGTAGAATCAAAGAAATACACTTTAAGGGTAATGAAACTGAGTATTTTTCCTTCCTGTGGAAGAATAGTTTCAGAACAAAAAAGGAGCTCATATTTTTCTAAAATCATTTTCAGTATTTATAAGGGAGACTTACCTAATCTACATTTTATTTTTCTCTCAAATATCAAAAAGTCTGTTAATATGATCAGATAATAAGACTCAATAGCAGCAGGAACATGGATATAGATCCTTTTGTCATATTCAGTAGCACCAATGGTTCCCTTTAGTCAACTGAGGCTCATCACTCAAAGGAAACCAGACAACAGTGCAGTGAATCTTACCCAACTTTCACTCAGATGAGTATTAAAATACATAAAATGGAATTTTAACATTTTTTTTATTTCCTTCCTTTTTTTTACTAATCAGCTCTAAAGTCAGAATAAACATATGCCTGCTTTGTATATACCAAAAGTTGTTTTTAGGTTTATCAGGATTCCTGACATAAGTCCCACTGGATAAATGAAACGCACGGGTATACAACCATTATATGTGGAGTTTTAATGTCCTCCCTGTTATGTGTGGGTCCTTAGTGGTGAGTATGAGTCCTTAGTGGATATTCCAGCTGTATCCATCCTACCACAGTAAAAAAGCAAAACAGTTTGGGTCTTTTTTAATGCTCCCAATTTTCATTTTTTTTTTTTTTTTTTTTTTTTTACACCAGATGCCTTTTCTGAAACAACCGGGTTTCAAACCTGGATCCCCCAAGTCACAGTTAAAGTCTTAAACTACTTCACCATGGTTACTCTTAACACAGTAAAAGAGACTATTACCTTGCAGAGAAAACTCTCCTTATTAGTGTCACCTTGTGGTACCTACACAACTGCATTTACCTGCTGGCCTTTTCACAAGTAGCTGCTCTTCATAAACTTTACCATGTGGTAGCGAAAGCATTTGATCACAGTGGGACAGAATTAACAATGGAAGTTAGTGTAATGCAGCCAGAAAAATCAGCCCTTACAGAAATCGCCCCCTTGTGGTTGTAGAAGTGAGTTACAGGCAGGTAACTTAGACTAAATCTGAATGCATAAAATCTTTCCTATCCAAATAGTTCTGGCAGGAAGGAAGGAGTTAGGAGGAGGAAGACCTATGCTTCCTTTTGCCAATTCAGTCAACATAGGATGTTTATAGGTGCTGCTAGGAGACATACGGTTGTCCATATTCATTTATGTGACAGATCATATTGGTACAGTCCATCCCTGTGTACTCTATGTGAGACATGCTAGTGTGTTCAGATGCTGTGGGTTTCATAATGGATCTCAGCCATTTACTACAGTAGTGTTACTTTTTTATTTAAGCATGTATTTATTTCATGACAAAGAAGTGTCAAAAAACAAAAAAATAACTCATATTACAAGTATATTACTGCCCCCCCTGTGGCTGCGGGATTTTATTAATCGTGTTAAACTATAGAAGTAGCATTAGATATAGAAAACAATAGAAAAAAATCAGCAAAGTTAAGTCTTTAGGGATAATTATTGATGAAAATATATTTCTTAAAGTCACATATAAAAACAGCTAAACTAATCTCTGTGTTATATAAAGTAAAAGTTTAACTAAATAAAGATCCATTATTTATATAGTATTATATTATTTTTGTAACTAATTGCAAAGGATTATGGGGTAATACGCGTAAAAAATAAGTTTTTTAATTTTACAAAACAGGGCAAAAAGAAATGAAAGAGTAAATAGATGAATAGATGAATCAAATCCCTTTTTATATCACACTTGGTGAAATTTGGAGACTGGGTTGATAATAGCATTTTAAAACTGATGTACAAAGGTTATACAACATGTTTACTGAGTAATATTATAAATATTTTTAAGAAAGGCAAATTGATTATAATATAAAAGGATGTTAAATGTTTTTAACACTAGGGTTCAAACTTTAAGTGCTGGAGCAATTTGTTTCTGTGTGTACAGTCAGTTTTTAGAGTCTGGAAAAAGCTACATTAATTATTGTGTTTAAATATGTATGAATATATAATCAAAAGAGTTATTTTTGTGAGGCTCTTTTTGCTTGATGTTAAAATTTACATATGAACTGATGGGGTTAACTTAAGAAAAGTTCCAATGCCTGAAACTGATTTAGCTTAAGAATTTATCAGTTTAATATTTTACGATTATTAATGATTCAACTATTGGTGTTGGGGGAAAATAATATACGATTTTCTCTGTTCTGCTGCTTTAGATTTGGATGATTTTAGTTGTGCTGTGTTCCTTCAATTTTTTGAAGAATGAAATAAATAATAATAATAATAAAAAGGGTAAGAATAGTTATCACTTGTTAAATCTGTATGCCATAACTATGTGTTACAGCCTGAATATTGTTAGGACTCCAGTCTGTGTGGTCTGAGTTTCTGTGTGTTTGTCTTCCTTCCCCCACCAGGCGGCGCCTGGTTCTGATTCTCCTCCTCACACACCTGCAAGGGGTTACCTCGTTAACGGAGTGTTCTTAAGCTGCTGACTGCCACTACCTCGACGCCAGAGTGTTTGCCAATTTTGGGTACTCTAGCCAAGCTGAGTTTTGCTGAGTCAAACTGAGTTTTTGTCAACCTGAGTCTTAACATTGTTTTTTGTCTTTGCCTCTCGGCAGGAAGTCATCCTGCAAACTGTATTTTTCTGACCTTCTCTCCCTGGAAGGATCAACTGAGCTTCAAACTGAGGAAACGTTCGAGCTTCACACTGAGCAAAGGATTCATCTGCACAACAGTCCGTTCATGTACCGCAGGAAATCTGAGTGGCAGCCAGTCTTTCTCCATTCATCTACAAGTAACCGCATTCTGGGTAACCCTGTCCGCCCTCCTCCGTACGAAACAAACACAGGAACACATTCCTCACCTGCTGGAGTCCAAGAGTAAACCTAATCTCTGGAAACGTGAGTCTACCAACCTTTTCTCCTCTTCAAGTTCGAGAGTCAATTCTCCCACTGAACCTGAACTAACCGCAGTGTCTTCCCATCACCTTTCAGTTCCGGTTGAGCAGTGTTCAGAGCAACACTGAAACCTCCACAAAACTTCTCAATAAACCTGTTAAACTTTTGCCCTTGTCTCTCTGGACTGGTTTTACCTGCATGTGGGTCCGAGCTCTTGATAAAATCATGACAAATATTGGCCTTTTATTGAGGTTAATAAAAGAACCAGATAAAATGACATGATAGAGAGTGAAATAAATCGATACTCTCTTCTCAGTATTAAAGAAAAAATCATGACAATCATGTAACTTACCGGGTATCCGTAACCTGCACCACCCCCTGGCTCTCCTTTTTCACCCTTGTATCCATTCACACCTGGGCGACCCTTTTGGAAAAAAGAAAACAAAAAAAAAACTCAGTGATCAATTTTCTGATAATCCATAAAGCCTCTGGAACTTTAAAATAAACTGAACAGCTGTACTTACAGGTCTTCCAGGCATGCCTATTTCACCTTTCAGTCCAGGAGGCCCCTGAGGACCCTGCAGAAAGATATAATAATATAACAAAAGCTGACATAATGCAGAAGCTTAAAAATCTTTAGAATGCAAACTTACAAAAGGTCCAGCAGGTCCTTGAGGTCCTCTGTCTCCCTACAGAAACAAAGCGGAAGTCATTACTTTAAACATTGTGGAAAACTGATAGAAGAATGGCCTGATGGGAATAAACAGACCCAGATAATGAGACTTACCTTCGGCCCAGTTAACCCGCCCAGGTACAAAGGATTTCCATCAGGCCCGATTATCAAGCCTGGCTCTCCTTTTTCACCCTGAAAATACAAGCTGATGATGATGAGGAGGAGGTTGATTAGCACTTTGATTATTAGATGAAATAAAAAACTAGAGTTTACCTTTAGGCCATACCCTGGTGGACCAGGGTCACCTCTGTCCCCCTTTGGGCCAACAGGACCCTGGAAAGTGGATTCAAATATTTATGGGAGAAGTTTAGAATTGGCTAACCATTTAATATGTGTTCATGCAGCACAGCTGGAAAACTGCTGAACTAATCAGTGTTTTATGCAAAATAAAAAAATAAAAAACTTTTTTATTCAGCAAATAAAATGTCTTTATCTGCATTAAAACATAGAAAATACATCAATAAAATTAAACTCTGCCAGACATTTGTGTGACACAGTGCGATACTATTAATGAAAAACCTAGAATGTGTATCCTAACGGACAAGGATAAGCAATCTGAAATTAAACAAAAAATTAGAAAAAAGAATAATAAAATAATATATATATTTGACACTTACAGGAAATCCAGCTCTGCCAGGTATACCAGAGGCCCCCTGAGAAGAAAGAAAATCCAGTTAATATTAGCTGGCTTCACTGTTTTAAACATTTCATAAATATATGAATTAATGATTAGCACATGAATTCCAACATATGAGCAGATCTTATCAACCTGCCCCTTAATAGGCTACTAAAATAAAAAAATAAAAAGTCACTTTGAATATCAAATACAAATGGTGTGTCCAGGAGCTGTGGCTCCATTGAAAAAATAAAAAATTCCTAATTGTATTAATCATGAATTATAACCCGAATCTAAGTTTGTAGCCATCATACAAGCCACCTTTAAAAAGGAATCATTTGGAAAATATTTGAAAATGTTTTTTACACATCTGGAACAGAATAACTGATGTACCACATTGCTTTCAATGTAAAATGCAGCTTTGTGGTTTATTAGAATTATAAATTGAGAATTTGGGTCTTATTGTGTTTAGTTATTTAGGTCCAACTCTGTCATACAAAAAAAAAAATAAAAAATAAAACTGCAAAGAGTGAAGTAAATTAAATCAATGGTAAACTGGAATTGTCAACAGTTAATACATTTTTAAATGAACTTACATTGTCAGAATGCTGGTATGTTATCTCTCCTGGTGGTCCAGGTGGTCCAGGTGGACCTGGCAGTCCAGTTCCATCTCGACCGGGTTCACCCTATCAAAACCAACCTCAATAAATATACACTAATATGTGAAATAATTAAAACTGTATTCCAGATTTTTTTTGGATTAATTTTGTTCATAAATGTAAAAATGAATCAAGAATCCAACATCGTATTTACCGTCTCTCCTTTGTCACCTCTGTCTCCCTTTTGGCCCTGTGAAAATAAAAAGACGTAAGTTTCTTTACAGATCATATGAATCATTATTCCTGTAGTTTTATAAAACACGGTACTTTGGGGGTACATCTGAAATCCCCCCCAAAAATAACTACTTTACCAGAAAGGAAACACAAAGGAGTTATTTCAAATTAAATGTTTCTACATCTTAAGTACCTCTGACCTGAGGAGCACTTCAAGGTTGTATACTTGGACTAGTTTTATTTTCTATATCTGTGTGGTTTGTATGAGAGGCCCCATGAAACATGTTCAATTTCTTTCTCTTACTGTATGACAACTATAAACTTGCATAAAGACATCCAAACCAAATCAAACTTGCATATACTATCAGTTTTTTTTTACATATACTCTCAAACTGTTTTACATATACTATTGAACTCTCATACATACGTAAATTAGCAAACTACTTAACGTTTACTATTAAACCCCCTCTCATGTAATCTCAAGCTCTATTAAATAGTCATTACATTTTCTAAAGTATACTCTTAAACTTGTAGTTTTTTATCAAAGTGGATTGGGGTACAAACATAGCTTTTACTGTTTTTGGGATTGTTTATTACAGAAAATCTGGTAAAGATGAGAAAAAAATAAAAAGAGCAGTATATAACCAGAATATTTTAAGCTATACTTCAAAGAAAATAGTAGCAACTAGAAATAACACAGAGAGACGAACACTAATGTAAAATGTATAAATCAAAAACCATATATATATATATATATATATATATATATATATATATATATATATATATATATATATATATATATACACAGAAGAGCTATATGTGTATATATCTTTATTTTTATCTTCATTATCTTGTGTATATATATATATATATATATATATATATATATATATATATATATATATATATATATATATGTGTGTGAAACTAAATCCAAGTGAAATGATAATCCAAGTAAAGTGATATTTAGATGTAAAAACTTTTAGAGAGACTGATTTAAACTTAAAAAATAAAGTTAATTATTGTGTCAAACTAGTTACTTTAAGCTGTTTTTCCATTCCCAGGCTCTGCTATGATCTGCTCAGTCTCCCTACTTTACTGATACTGGCTGCATTTCTGCTGATTGCTGGAGATCTGGCTTTAAGCCCAGCCTCCAGACATCTGTGTCTTTCAGTTTTAAAAATAAAACAAGATTACATAGATTATCTTGAGTCACATTCCTTTTTATCCAATCTTTTGGTGACCTGTTTTAGATTCCAAAGAAAAAAAAGAAAAAAAAAAAAGATTTAAAATTTAGTGTCCCTTAATTCAGACTGCTGATGTCTAATTTTTCTTCATTTTTTTTCATACATTGTATAGCGGGTAAAATAAATCCTGAACACAATTTTTTCTCAGTAAATATATTTCTAGATATCTTATTGACATGACATTTTTTACCAGATGTTGGTAGCAATTCCTACAATCAACACATACAGAGAAATCAAACCATAGATGTCCAGAAATAAAGTTATGTTTAGTAATGTGTAATGGCACAGGGAAAAAGCACTGAACATGTGAAGAAAGGGAGGTGTAAAAAGGCATGGAAAGCCAAGACACCATTGGAAATCTACCAGTAATTAGAAAGCAATCCTGCCCCTTTTCAGTGCGAATTAACATCAACAGGTTAAGTCCCAAATGATGGCCTATAAAAAAGGTGTCTCTGGTATCACACAAGAAACATCTCATGATGGGTAAAAGTAAAGAGCTTTCTCAAGACCTTTGCAATCTTATTGATGCAAATCATAATGATGGCATTGGTTACAGAGGGATTTCTAAATTTCTGAATGTTCCAGTGAGAACTATTGGGGCCATAATCGAGAAGAGGGAAGAACAGAATTTCACCATAAACCGACCATGACAAGATGCTCCTCGCAAGATTTCTGACAGAGGAGTGAAAATCATTATCAGACGATGTGTCCCAGAGCCAAAGACCACTTATGGAGAGCTTCAGAAAGACTGCAATTAGCAGGTACAACAGTAATGCACTCAACCGCCATTGCCTGCAAGCTCACCACGCAAGACTCCATTACTGAAGAAAAAGCATGTTGAAGCTTGTTTAAAGTTTGCTACACAACATTTAGACAAGCCTGTGAAATACTGAAAGATATAGTCTGGTCAGATGACACTAAAATTGAACTCTTTGGATGCCATAATGCATCATGTTTCAAGGTCAAATGGCACTGCACACCCCTCCCAAAAACACCATACCAACAGTGAAGTTTGGAAAAATGTACAAATAGATTCTTGATAAAAATCTGCTGCCATCTACCAGGATGATGAAGATTAAATGTGGGGGGTAATTTCAGCAAGACAATGACCGCAAACACACAGCCATGGAAACTCTTAATTGGTTAGAGAGAAAGAAGTTAAGGCTGCTAGAACGCCCCAGCCAATCACCTGACTTGAATCCAATAGAAAATCTACGGAAAGAACGAAAGATCAGAGTTCATAGAAGAGGGCCACGGAACCTAACCTGACCCCGCCAGATGGATTTGCTCCACATATCCATCTGAAAACCTTCAGTTGAAGTAATTTTGGGAAGGGGCGAAAATACTGGTTAGCTGATTGGCCTATGTTAGTGATAGACGGGCCAAATAAACCACTCAGATCAACGAAGCATATGACGTACTAACAGAGCGACGACGAAGAGGAGCCAATTGATAGATCAAACTCTTGCCGAAACCAGTCGGGAGAAGAGCAGAAACATATTTTCCTCTGAGAAAAGCCTCCAGAGCAGTGTTTTGCTCTTCTTTCAGTGAAGAAATACTGTGTAATTCCGATAAAACTTGCTCGATAGCCACGCTAACGCTAGTTTCATCGGCTGAAGTCGCCATGTTCTTTAGACTGACCTGTCGCGCTTCTCGTTGCGTCACACCTCAACCCGCCTCAAAGCCAACGCTGATTGGACGTTCGTTTGGTGAACGGCTCCAAATTTTCTTTAACGGATAGTAGCCAGACTGATCTGGGAGTGAAACCTTGAAAGCTCGTAGGATCAGGATGGTCTTGCGAGGCTACACGAAACCTTCAAGATTTGAAGACGGAAGGAATGGGCCAAAATCACACCTGGGCAATTCATGCGACTAATTTCTCCATACAGGAGGCATCTTGAAGCTGTCATTCCCAACAAAGGCTTTTATACAAAGTATTTAAGTAATTTCACTAAATGTTTTTATTACTTTCCCTGTATCATTTCAATTAATTACACATTACTCAATTTCTAGAAATTTATGGCTTGATTTCTTTGTATGTGCGGATTGCTTGTTACAGCATCTGGTGAAAATATCATGTCAATAGCACTTTTAGAAATTTCCATACTGAGAAAAATACTTATTTTGCCTGCTGTATATAGTATGAGAATAGTAAAATTATATTTCAGTTTGACTCGCTCAGTTTAAAGTTCTCTGTGTTTCAACGTCTTCCTGAATGTTTTTGGCAAAACTTTCTATTTTCTTTCATATTTCGGCCCCTCTTAGCTGTGTTCATACAGGCTCTGATCAGCTATGAAAATAAGCCAAGTACGAAAAAACTGTGATTGCAAAGCGGCCTGGGTGGTGATAAATCAGCCTAAGCAAATCCAGAGAAAAGGAGCTTTAATAAATGCATATTTGGAAAACATATGATTGTATTTAAAATTCAAACCGAGTTCCTTTTTTCTTACCGGAGGTCCTGGGAAGCCATCCAGACCTGGTTGTCCGTCGCTTCCTGAGGGACCCTGCTCACCCTTTGGACCCTGTATACCAGGAAAACCTGGGCTACCCTACAAACAATACGTAAAGTTATACAAAATGTAAACAAAAACACAGAAAGATAGAAACAAACTTTCAAACTAAGAGTAGTTTTGGATAAATCCTGTTGGTAAAGTTTAAGTGTCAATTTCATATCAAAATATCAAATAAGAAACATATATCATTCACAGAAAAGACATGATTTTCATATATCTGCTTCCTCAGTTGTCTGTAAAAAAAAAATCTAACATTTCCTTCATGCTTTTAAGCTCTATTCCAAACACTTTAACACCGAATTGTTAAAGATTCTTTTTAATTTTCTTTCCAATTTTTTTTTACTTAGAAACAGATGCTGACATTTACAGTAGATTAAATCTGAAAACTTCCCAAACCATTAAAAACAGAAGTTCACAACTTACATATGCAGATTTATTTGTTACGAAAGAATATGATTTGTAGATTAACTTCAAAATGTTTCTAAACCTAATTGACACATTAAGCTCTTATAATTACTCTCTGGAAAACCAGTTCACTGTAGCATGTTACTTACTGGTTGTCCAGGTAAACCAGGAGGACCCTGAAAGCACATTATTTATTTTGGTTATTTGAAGCTCCAGAAAAATATTCACAGCATATTTTTTCCCTTATCTAAATTTCTTTATGTTAAATTGTTACCAGTTGGCCTACGATAACGTCTTCATTATATCAGTACAATGAAACCAAGTCACTTTTAACATTTCTGCTCTAACAGATCTAATATCAGAAGCACATATAGTGTTACCTTTGAGGTTCATATTTTATTTGTAATATTAGAATATAGGAGTGATTAAGGCACCTGTATCCCTTCTGGTCCTCTGACACCAGGAAGTCCATTAGTGAAAGTCCCACTGGAGTCGTCCATGTCATCCTGTAAGACCAGATAAAAAGATTTCACGGCAAAGTAAAACAAAAGTGTTTTTTTTTTTGTTTGTTTGTTTTGTTGTATTGATGCATAGAAATACAATGTTGAGCCGAGTATTACAGGCTCGTGAACCCCATTAGATTTATTGTCTCCACTAGGCGTCTTCAAGGTTTTCCAGGCCAAGGACCCCAAACTGATGGCGAGATGGAGCGGAGACCCCCTAATTATATATATGGTATGAAATTCTGTTATATCAAACTGGTCCTATAGTCACTCTATTACAGATGGAGTAATGTAACGAAAGTATTTTCTCCCTGGGATTATTAAAGTATTTCTGATTGCTGGTTGATGGGACAGGTGTTGTGAATGAAACGGTGCCCAGCATGAAAGAGCTGGAGTGTCACTGAATGTGTGCATTGATGACTGAAAGACATCTTCTGCCTCCATTTATCTGTTTACTACAGTGTGTTGAATTCATGTTAATGTGGATTTAAAGACATGTCATAAAAAAAAAGTCTAATCAACAAAGACTTTTGAGACCCCCATGCAGTACCTCCGTGGGCCCCCTAGGGGTCACTGACCCCCTGTTGAAGACTTACGGTCTACAGCTTCAACAATTAACGTTGTTCCACTCTAAGTTCTAGTTAAAATTACCAGACCAAGAGGACTGAAGTAAGTCTATTCATTCTTCTCATCACTTCAGTTTGCTTCAGTGGTAAAAAAAAAAACAAAAAACAAAATAAATAAAAGAAATGTGTAGATCCGTTATGTAAAGTGTGCTGTTCTTTTAGCTTTCCAGTTTTGTGACTGGAAAAAATAAAAACAAAATGGGGAAAATGTTTTTCCATAGAATCTGATGAGATTTTGTTGCAAAACAAGGAAGCTAAGCCCAACTTTGCATAATCAGCACTTAGAGTCTAAATGGCTTACAGAAAGATATCAAACATGTCTGTTTGATATCAAAACAGACATGTTACAGCATGGCGGGAATCACCATAGCAACCACTGACTAGGCCGTTTAATTAGTCCTTTCTTATTTATTATAGTGTTTGTATTAAAGGTAGGTTCATTACTTTAGCGGCGCTCTGCATTTTATTCGCTTCATTAGGTTCAGGTCCTGCAGGTTTACCTCCTGTTGCTCCAGGAACAACGGCACCACAGTTCTGCTTCAGTAGCTCTAACAAATGGAATTGTTACAAACACCTACAGTAGAAGAGAACTTACAAATCCAACCCGATGAGCTGGTCCTGGAGGGCCTGGAGGTCCAGGAGGACCAACTGGTCCCATCGGTCCTGGAAGACCAGCCAGTCCAGGTTGTCCTGCAGCGCCGGGTAAACCGGGTTCTCCTGGAGCTCCCTAAGGAAGAAAAACATTGTTCTATTTAATGAATTAGTGTTTTAACTTTGAGAGTGATATGTTTGAAAATTAGAGGCCCAACAAAAAACAAAACATATGCATCAATCAGTAAATAAACTTCTGAGATTACATATGATGACAGAAATATGATCCTGTAATTGAAAACCACTCAAATAAAATACAGTTTATAGCATATGTAATAAAGTTCTGAGTTTTTTTAAATTAAGTTCAACATTAACAGGCAACGCAGCTTTTAGTTAAATCAAAAATAATAATAAAAAAAAAAAATCATAATTCAAACCTTTTCTCCGATTGCCCCTGGGAGTCCAAGCTCGCCCGAATCTCCCTAAAGAAATAAAAATAAAATCCTTTATAAGTCACAGGGAAATTTAAACTTTTTAAGTGTATGTAACATATTATCATACTACTGCCGCTGATGTACAGTAGGAACTTTTTCCATAAATACTAACTTATAACTTTAAATTGCTTCATTTTTATAAAGTAAAGTAGATAAATATTTTTTTCCATGTTGACTAGGCCAATTTATTTATTTTTTTGTAAAATCAAATTAAAATTGGTGGCTACCAGCAGCGTTACAATTCAGACTTTTAAACCAAAATCCATTTGTTTACATTTACAGATATATTTTATGTAAAAAAAAATAAATAATTGTATACATTTCCGTTAAACTCCTAATGGGATCTAGGGTTGTAATATATAAGAAAGTGTTAGTTCTAGCGAATCATTACCTTTTCACCCTTTGGACCAGGAGCTCCAGGGAGACCATCAGCACCAGGTAAACCAGGCAGACCCTTCAGTCCAAAAGATTAGGTTATTGGAACTTGATTCGGTTAAATCGGTTCTATCATTAGCATAACTACTTAAAAAATTAACAGCATGAAAACAAGAGGATCAAGATGAGTAGAATCCTTCAAATCGCTCCTGATTACATACAGATGGAAACGGTCCCACTTACAGGTTGACCTGGCTCTCCATCCTTTCCTGGGGGCCCAGAAGCTCCAGAGCTCACTGCTGTGTTTGCTGATGGGAAACCTGGAAGACCCGGGGGACCAGGCGGACCTGGTGGACCTGGAAGTCCCTGAATTAAGAAAAATGAATTCAAACCCATAAGAATATGTTTTCTTAGAATCACAGCAAATTCGTTCTATTTCTTACCCGAATGGATTCCAAATCGGGGAATCCAGAGGCCTCCATGTCTTCAAACGTCTGAAAAGTTTTACTCAGAATCAGTCGCAGAAAGTGAAGGAAGTTTTTATTAAATCATGACATTAGCCTGAGATGAACTCACAGATCTGAATCCTGTACCCGGTGGTCCTGGAGGTCCTGGGGGGCCCCGGGGCCCAGGCTGGCCCTCTCCACGGTCACCCTGTATGTGCCAGTCTTATTAGGACAACATCTTTCTGCAGGATTTGAACACAAAGCTTTCAACATTGGTAAATGTTGGAGTAACAAACCTTTTCGCCTTTCAGTCCTGGATCACCCGGAGTCCCAGGAAAGCCTCGGGGTCCCTGAGGCCCCTATTTAGTAAACAGATATGATCTTAGAAGCTCATATGTTTAACATCAAGCATAAAAGTCAGACTTTTTTAATTTTTCCAGAAAAAGCTTAAACTTCTTACGGTTTTTCCATCTTCCCCGGGATCCCCCTGCAAGAATAAAACAAAAACCTTGATTACTTCCAGGATTTCCAACGAAGGTCTAATTTAATTTTGTTTTGTTTTTTTTCAGTTTCTGACTTTCTTAAAAATCAAAGGTCCACCCACCGGTTCTCCATCCTCTCCTGGGGGTCCCTGAGGACCTGGTTGTCCAGGTGGGCCTCGGGGTCCAGGTACTTTTGAAACAACTGATCCATCACTTCCAACTGAATACTCAGTGGCAGGGCCTGGAGGACCAGGTGGGCCTGGTGGTCCTGGAGGGCCGGTGTCGCCCTTTTTGCCAGGATATCCAAAGCCTGCGCTCCCCTGGAAAAAAGGACGGGTTTAAGATCGTCTTATGAAGCTCTCATATGTCCGGATGTACAGCAGCAGAACAATAGCAATAACTTTTGAGTAGGTATATTCAGTCAGATGAAGAACTGTTAGCCGCTATAATTAGTTGCCAGTTGCTTCATGTTGCTTTTTGCAGCATAAAACATTAACCAGTAGGTCAAGCTAATATCCAAAGCTCTCCCGTCAAACTAATGCCAGCATAGCTACTAATTAGAGATTTGTTTTAATCAACAGCGCAAAAAAAATCAAGCAGTCTGTTATATCAGTTTGTTAGAACAAGTGGTTAAAGTGTATAGGGCAGTGACGAGATAAAAAAAAAAGTGGTTATAGTAAGAGATAAGTCCATCTGTTGTTTATTCCTCAACATCAAATCCTCTTTTTTTAGTTCCTAGTTTGGCGCATGTCATGGCTCTTCAATACCTATAAGGTTTATTAAACATCAACATTTATTGTTTGACCAGGTCTCCCTAGACACTTCATCCTATGTCATATCAGGAAATTGAGCTTTTTGAAACGAACAGTTTGTTAATATAAAGAAAATAAACCCAAATGGGGGGAAAAAAAATCATATAAGTGGCCTGGATTTAAGGCTTTAATAAAAATAGATACCTTATTAGCCTGAATATAAAATTTGTTTTTTTTTTCTTTTCTTAAAAACATTGCTAAAATATCGGGTCATCTTATGATATATATTCAGGGTCTAACCAATTATACAGATGACAGTTGTCTGGGATTGCTACACGAACGCAACAAGCAGAGGGCGCAATTTTTTTTGCGTAAAGCCAGTGACCTCATGGAGATGGAAAACTGTGGCTGGGGTCTTCTTTCTATCACAACAGCGGAGAACTGACAAGGATGCTGCAAATGGAGAGTCGCTGCCCAGAACCGAGTGGATCAGAAATCAGGCAAGTTTGCAGACATTTGAGGGAGAGTTATGACAACAATTTTAAAATAATGGTGGTCAATGCAGTGGAGGCACAAAACAGCTGTCAGCCAGCTAAGAAATACAGAGTTAAGGGCTGATTTCACTCCTGCAGTTATGATGCAGATTTTTGATTTATGTCCAATTTTGAAGATTGTTAGCTGTGGGTTTAGATAGGGCCGATGCGGTGAGGAAGTGGAAAAACGCAAAGGGGCAAGTTTGTGCGACAACGGAGGGACATGAGGGCAAAAAACTGTCGTCGTCGCAAATCTTGCTCTTCTACCTGGTCCATCTTCACCAGTCATACAAACAAATCAAGCCGGTAAGGAAGCAAACAGGAAATACGCACAGTGTAGAGCGGATAATAATAAATTCAATAATAATACATTTTATTTGTAATGCGCGTTACATTTAAGAAAAGAAATCTCAAAGTGCTACAGGTAAAATCACCATAGAAGGATGTAGCTTTGACCAATCAGAGGCCTCCTGTCTGCGGCATCGTAGGCGGTCAACTACAATTTTGGAGAAGTGCAGCAGATTGTCTGTGGACAGGTGGGGTGGGGGCATAAACCAGCCTTTACAGAGAGCAATGTCAGAAAATGACATATTTAAAAATACCGGAAAATTGTGAATAGCTAAAGAAAAGCTACCTTTTTCACGAGTGTATAGTGTATAAAGTGTAAAGTGTATATAATCCAGGCATGCAAAAGAGCTTAGCAAACATTTATGAAAAGAAACAGGCTGTCCTCACCAGCTTTTTTTTTTATTCCAGGATGCAACTTATGCATAGCCTTCATTCCCCTGAGTGGGTAATTGAAGTGTCCCTCTGTGAACTGTTAGCTTTGTTACAACAAGGTGGAAGCGATTGGGAACACAACTGAAATAGCTACGCTGCATGGGTTTCAAAGGCCAAACAGCTGCATCCAAGCTATATCTATGAGCGCAATGCAAAGCATCATGTACAGTGGTGTACAAAATGCCTACATTGGACTCAGCAGCCAGGCCTTTGTGTCCAAAATGGACGTCTGACCTTATTAATCCTCTTAAGAAACAATGGCAAAAAAGTCACACACACCAGAAGAACTGGATCCCTTACAACAGCAAAGATGGAGTGAGATTTAATCCAATCCTTTTTATTCTTTGACAGATCACCTAAAAGTGGCACTGCTGAACTCAAAATAAAAGAAAAAAATAGAAATATTGTGGATTTTAATTTCTTCCCTTTTGTTCCTGTGTCATAATGTACCTGTACTGTATGTGACACACAGTAAGCTAGCAGGAGAGAACATAGGAATCAGAGGAAGCATCAAATCCAGGATTTTGTTTTCAATGATAAATTTCTTTTTGAAAATAATCTCACTGAGAATAACAAATACCTGAAGGTTTTTTCTATAAAAATGAGAGATAACCATCACATACCTTTGCTCCCTTTTCACCAGGTTCTCCCTGAAAAAACAACAAAATAATACTTTAAATGAAGTCTGTACTACTACTGTAGACTCTTCCTGGACTAATATTAGGCTTTAATTTTTAATTATGATTTTTTTTATATATATAATAAACTAGACAAAAAAACAAACCAAAAAACTGTCATATGTATACACAATGTTTATACTGTATATCCCATTATCCTTTCTTCCTTTGCCTCATTCTTCTTCTTTCTTTGACTATTTGAGCTGATGCAATAAGTAAATGTTTCCACTGTGAGATCAATAAAATCAAACAATAAAATTCAACCCAACAGGAAATTCATTTCCAACTTCCTGAAATGTTCTTATTGTTCTGAATTATCCAAATAAAACTAGCTCTCTATGACAGAACTCAATAAACATAGAAACAGCTTCTAATATAAACTAAACTGTACAATTTATAAAAGAATAAGCATTTATGTGGTTGTTTGACTTTATGGATTCTAGCTCCCTCTAGTGTTGATTAGCCTGACTGCAGCTGTTCAGCTCAGTTCATTGCCATAAAAACTGCACTGACCTTGTGTCCACCGACTCCCCCCTTGTAGCTGATGCCTGCTTCTCCCTGCGGACCCCTCAAACCCCTCTCTCCTTTCGGTCCTTGGTCCCCCTTGTCGCCCTTTTCTCCTTTAACAAAGACTGCACCTGGAAGGTATTACCAAGAGGTATTACCAATCCATTAATATAGCAATAAAAAACCTTTCATAGATGATTAATGACCGGATCCAAAACAAAGAAAACAAACGGCACATATGATGGTCCCAAAGGAACAAGCTTATACTTCCTGTGTGTCAGTGCAGGAATCCTGCTGTGCTTTGCAGTAATTCTGTAATTTAAAGGCCAGGTGAAGATTTTAAGGTGGAAGAAGATCTCACACCCGCATGCATTGCTCTGATTTGACCCAATTTCACCTGAAATGCTTAATTTAACGGTAAATACGTCACTTTCAGAGAGCATGGTATGAAATCCTGCTGCTTGAAGGAATGAATTCTGTAAACATGTTTGAACCTGTATTATAGTAATGAGTTACAGACACGATGCAGTGTGAAATAGACCACCACCACCTCATAGCATTAAAATCCCATGTTAAAAACATCATTTTATCTAAAAAGGTTTCCAAAATCGTTCCCCTTTTCTAATGAGAGCAGATTTTATATCTTATAAGTAAAAGAAGGAAAGGTTATTTATATTATTTATGAAGCACATTTCAGTAGCAAGACAATACAAATTGTTATACATGTAAAAAAAAATAATAACTAGTAAAACCAACAGTGAAAAGTACACTGCAGTGGTAAAGAGGTAGTTAAATAAAGAATGAATATAAATAATTAAAACTAAAAAAAGAACAAAATTGAATTAGAAAATTATCATAACAAATATAAATAACAGCTTTAAAAAAAATTTCAAAAGCCACTCCAAACAAGTTCTCAAATCTTGATTTAAAGCATTTTAAGGTTTCAGCACTTTATTGTTCCAGATTAGTATGGAGGACCGCTCCTGCCATAATTAAAAATAATTATAAAGATATTTTTTCAACAATAGATAAATTATTCATAAAAAAATATATATTTTAACTTACACTTTTATTTTTTACTTTTCTTCTTGCTTTTATACTGACTTATTTTTAACCCACTGTTTTCTGTTATTCATTTTTATTGAAGTCTTTATTTTGTCTTTGTGTATTTATTGCAAGTGGAGTTTTTTTCCACTGCAACCTTTTTTATTTTTTCATATTTATTCACACCAACATTTTTAAAAATATGTTTTTATTTTTGTCTCATACTGATTTACACCACAACATTTTTAAAGCATGTTTTTACTTCACCATATAAATATTACTTTTCATTTTGTTTTAACATCCTTTTATTTCTGAAACAATGATTTATTTCTGCCTCTAACTTTTCTGTTTTTTTACCCAAAGGATTTTTATCTGCCCTTTTATTTCCTTCTCCCCTTTTTCCACTTTGTGTATTTTAACATCTTATTTTTAACGCAAAATTTTTAAACCATGTTTTTACTCCACCATAAAAAAATATTTTTTATATCATTTTAACCTTCTATTTCTTAAACAGTCATTTATTTCTGCCTCTAACTTTTCTGTTTCTCCTGCTCTTTTATTTCCTTCTCTTTTTCCACTTGGTACATTTCTACTTCGTGTTTTTTTACTTGTTCTATTTGTATCCGTATCTGGATACTTATCGCATCTCCAAACTCTTGCCATTTCACACCCTTAGTCAAAATGTTCTGTTCTACACGTCCTCTGACCAAAGACCAACCTGTTCACAAGTCCTGACTGTTTTAACAAAGAGCATAAAGAATTTAGTCAAAAGTGAAATAGTAATTCCTTTTTATGAATTATGAAAATCAAGACCAAACAAGCCCAATATGGCCTTTACTAAGGGATCAATTACTAGTTATATTTCAACTAGTGTAAGTGTAGAAAAAAACTCTCAGCACTCATTTTCTGTCCGTCTCTCCCATTTTTGTTCCATTTTTCCCCCCCAAAATTGTTTAAGTTGTAAAAGATTTGTATTTTTTTCCTGCACAACTCTGATGGTTTATCAAAACATCAAGTTGAGGTCTGACTTTGACTAAACCATTGCAGCAGCCTTATTCTTTTCATTTTCAGCTATTCTATAGTATCATTAGCTGCTGTGTTGGAGATCAGGATACTGCGGATGATCCAGTTTGAGGAGAGCTTTGATGGAACAAACATTTGTCTCTATAATAATTTGATATACAGGCGAGTTTAATGGATGGTCCACTGGATGCAAGACAAATAGGTCAGCCCAACTGATCAGTCCTCTTGGCAATGTGGTGCTGAACTTTATTGCCAAACATCTATGTTGGTTTCATCTCCCTTTCTAATGCAACTTTGCAAACTCGGGTTAAACAGCCATGTAGCTTCTTTTTTTTTTTTTTTCTTATCATACCTTACCTAAAGAAAAAAAAACACCTTTTAAGCAGCATAAACTGAGATAGAGCTCTTGTTGTTTGGGGTAATCTCTCAATACAAAGCACACTCTCACTTTGCTAGGACACCTTTGCTAGGATTTCATCCCCTGGGATGAGTTAGACAATGATGGACATTAAATCGATAGGAATAGACTCGATGAAGCTAGACTTTAGAGCAACAGCAAAAACCTTGTTTTTATTTTGTTCAACCCCTAAGAAGTAGACTCTCAAAACTGTTAGAGTTACTTAAAAAAAGCCTTTTGTATAAAACTGCTGGCCTGCTGCAGCCCATTCTGTACTACATGAATACTAAATAATAATCATGTGGTTTTATCGCTTCCTTAGTATTAAAATAAAACCTGTTTTAAAGGAAAATATTTCAAATATAAGAGGAATTTAATCTTGTAATCCTAAAATTATGATTTAAATGATTAAAGACATATAATTGCTTTAATTATAATTGAATGGTTATGCCTGAAACTGGGTGTGAGGAAGTGAAACTTATTTAATCATATCCCCTTCACCTTTCATGTAGTCCATAAGACCAGCAGTAATCCTGATTCCTATTTGACTTATAAATCTATACAATTTCAAAATTTTATTAAGTGAACAAATGAAAAAGTTTGTGTCCATATAAACATACATACATGCATTCAAACATGCCTACGCACATCTTCATTTATACAATTATTACCCATAGGCCACACAACCACAATCACAGCAAAAACATGTATGCACCCATTGAGTGACTGAGCGAACCCAGTGATGTTCACCACCCTTCTTCCATTTTATATCTTAAGAAAATCAATTGGAGTATTTTCTTAAAGTCTCATTCTTTGACATTGCTTTAATTTAACACTGAGGGTGTTTCACTTTTTATTGAAATGCACATTCTGTCCCTGTTTGTTTTAACATGTAACGTTTTGAAATTTAGATTATCTATATGAAACACTCTTAAATCTCATTTTATTTTTTATATCATTGCTATGTGTTGCTATGTGTTGCTATATGCAAAACATTTTTTGTTAAGCAATTTAAATTGTTTGGTCAGTAGGGGAGTAGTGGCCTAGTGATTAGAGCAGTGCGCTTGTGCTCTGAGAAGGTTTTAAGTATCCAGTTCGATACCCACAGCCTCAAGTATTGGTTCCTGAGCAAGACCCTTAACCCAGCACACTGCCTCCCGTGTGCCACACAATGGCAGCCCACTGCTCCCCAAGGAGATGGGTCAAAATGCAGAGAGTGAATTTCCCCTTGGTGGAACAATAAAGGGATTTACTTTTTCTTTTTTTCTTTTTTTTACATATAGTCTTAGTCAAGCATCTTCTGCTGCATTGCTCATTGAATCCACCAGATGGCGCCATTTACCAGCTAATCCATTTCTTGCAGCTCTTTTGTCTGCACCGCCACATGCTGTCACAAATAATGAATCTATTCAAAGACGTGAAACAACAAAACTATACCTGTAGAGCCACTAATGTGTATTATTTTTAATCAAGTTGAAAAATCCAGTGATTATTTAAAATTAACTGATGGCAAACAGCAGCTCCAAATTAATACCTTTTGATATTTGAGGCCCATGTAGGAAAAGTACTCATTCACATCTATTTACAGTAGTGTCAGAAATTGGAAGAAATTGTGTAAAAGCTTACCTGTTTCTAAGAAGGTTCCCTCTTCTCCTTTCCTGTCCAGTGGTGGCTGTGGGATAGGTGTAAGAGACGCCAAGGCTTTCTGCTGAAAAAACAAAACACAGATTCACATTTTAGAATGAAAGTAGATGCATGGTGGGTTTGCCCCTTCTTCTGCAGCTTCATCTTGACCTCCCACTGAGAAAAGCCTCTGTAAACAATGCTCCATCATGGGAAAAAAGTTTTTCCTTGTAAACATCAATCACAAACCCAAATGAGTCATGTTCTACAAACTACTTAAATGTTTGGGGACTGGAAGGGGTTTTGCTTGTACAAACCTTTACAAATGTCTCCCAGCTCTGCAACATGCTTTTTCACAGCACAACTGATTCAACATGGCACGCACAACTGGAGCAGTTAACGCCGCCTGTTTTCCTTCATTTGCTGCTAATTAACCCTGCATGTGTTGCAAAACGTTATGTTTACCTTGCCGAGGCTGGGAAGCAACACAGAACCCAAAAATATGATCCTCAGATCATCAGCAGATGAAAGAAAAAACCTTTGAATGTGAATTACAACGTACTCTGTTTAAATATTACAAGTTTTCAGCTTCAACGGGATGTTTATTTATTGATAATTCAGCTGAAAACTAAAACTCCTTCAGAGGAGCAATAAAATGTGGGGTGAAAAAAGTGTGTGTACCATTAAAATGCTTTATTGAAGGTTCAATCCAAGCATTCAGTATTTGAGTTGGAGTTTGTCAGCGTTCCAAATCCTGACTCATTAATATTTACCAACTTTAAACACCAAACCCTCTCCAGATCTGACTTCTACGATGTTAGTAAAGAGTTGTTAGATAATATATTTTCTTCCAGCAATAAAGTTATTTTATACATTTCAAACTGAAGGCTCCATCTGATTGCAGGGGAGCTGTGGTGTGGTGGTGGTTGGAGCAAGGTGTTTGCATTCTGAGAAGTCTGCAAGATCCCTGCATGAAATCCGACATCATGGTTCTCTGAGCAAAGCTTTCAGCCCCAGAGTGCTCATCTAGCGCTGCACAGAGGCTGCCCACTCCTTCCTACAGGATGAGGTACAAGCAGCAGACCAATTTGCACTGTAATGTAAAAAGTTAAATAAAAAAATTAAAGAGATATTTTATTTTTACTATGATGCCAACTCACTGCAACATTTTATTATCCAAAAGTTATATTTACTCTATGGGATTTTATTCTAAAAAGGATAGAAAGGATGATGGTGAGCACACATGAGAAACTTCTACTAGAACTGCATTTTGGATAAATATGAGGAGTAGGAGTGATTGCAGGCTGAATGCTGAAACACATCAAATGTCTAGAGTACGTAAATGAATTTCCAGCCTTATATCATTTCTGCTTGGGAGATCTGTACAGAATATTTCTCACGTCAAAATGTTAATGTTATGGTTCTCCCCTTTTGGACTTTGAGTTTTTGGTTATCTATGTCATTCTGCTTTGTTGATCTTTGATTTATTTTCCATTTTGTGTATATTTATGCAGTCTTGAGTTACTCTCTGGGGTCTGTCAGTGGAGCAGTGGGTAGCACTGCTGCCTTGCAGCAAGAAAGTTCTGGGTTAAATTCCTGGCCTGGGGTCTTTCTTCATGGAGTTTGCATGTTCTCTCTGAGCATGCGTGGGTTCTCTCCGGGTATACCAGCTTCCTCCCACAGTCCAAAAACATGACTGTTAGGTTAATTTGCTTCTCTAAATTCTCCTTAGGTGTGAGTGTATGCGTGAATGGTTAGTTGTCTCTGTGTTGCACTGCAGTGGACTTATGACCTGTCCGGGGAGGACCCCGCTTCTTGCACCAGCACTCCTCTTGGGATAAGCGTGACAGAAGATTGGATGGATAGAATTACTCTCTCTTGTGCCTATCTCCTTTCCCCTAGATTCCTTCTAGTCACTTCTATCCACATCTGCTCCATATCAGCTGATTACCTCAGTCTTTGTTCTGTCTCCCATATATACTCTCGCTGTGCAGTTCTTTATTGCTTGTTTCTTGTGGTTACTTAGTTCCCCATTTGTGCTTTCCCCTGATGTCTCCTGGTTTTTAGTTTCCTGCATTTTTGGTTCTTGGGTTTTGTCTGTTGCCTTTTGATTTAATTTAACCTGCAAGATCTTAAACTCTGTCTTTGGATCCTCAACCAACCTCCATCTAACCTGTATAATAATGATCTCATGTGGTAAAAAAAACATGATTTTAACAGGTGCTGGGGCTGATTTTATGTTCATTGTATGTCTACAATACTGTTTCTTTTCCATCACACAAATAAAGATAAAACAGGCAGACATGAGGCTAAAATCTTCTAACTTCTGACCTCACACAGATGGTCTGCCAACCAAAAAGGCATCAAAAACTGGTCTATTCCATCATAGATGAGTCTGTTAATATATTCGGCAGCTTGTTCCCTGAAAAAAACCCCCAAAACAAACAGAACACGAAGTTGATAAAGGTTTCGTTAAAACAGGACCATATAAATGTTGCAACCTTTGCAACAGTTTCTGTGTGATTTGTTTCCTCCTTAGTGGCTTCCCTTGATTCTGGCCACACTGTAGAAGATATTAGTCATATGCTGGGTTATTTGACTCATTGTTCTCCTGTTTACTCTCTGAAATCACACTGTAGTAACGTTCCTCAGTCTCCAGTCAACCAACCTATAAATTCATAGGCCTGTGGGAGGAAATGAGAACAGCAGCAGCAGATTTTTGTTCCCACTTTGTTCCCAAAACCTCATTTGGAATAAAGAGGTGAGAGTTTAGAAACTTTCAGAGAGGAGAAAGAAGAGGAGAAGAAGATGAAGACCCCCCAAAAGCCTTAATGTTATGCCAGTGTTGATAATTAAGTGTGTTTCTCAGCAGGGAAACATTCTCTGCTCCGTGTTGCATGGCACTGACTGAACTAAGAATCCTTCCTGGCCATTTCTCACTCTTTCAACTTGATTTAAGATTTATTGTGATTAGGAATGCTCTGCTCACTGAAACAATCCATCATGGCTGCTAATGACAGGTGGGAGGCGGAGATGCTTAGACATACTGTTGGGGAATGTGCTCACTGTAAATCTAATAAGAAAATGGTGGTGGATTTTACCAAATTTTTGAAAAGACCCGCCCTCTCCACTTAAAAAAAACAACACATGTACAGCACTGTACTCGCTCCAGAAATGGAACGCCTATTAAAGTGAGCAAGAGCATGCACAAGCCCATTTCTCCTCAGTTTAAAAGTTGCTGTTTGCATCGCTCATACAAGCTTACTTTCCAATGGAGATTTGCAATTTTTCCACTATGTCAGACTCACCACCGGTAAGTGAAAATGTGGACGAGCACGTAAGACGACCTTCCGTAAACATATCACCAGATTGATTGACACTTAGGAGGACCACTTATTTTGATGATCCACCCCGAAAAAGAACATCCTTCATTAAAGGTTTGCAACTTTTTGCTTCGGTAAAACAATGTTCCAAAACAAAACTGTTGGACCGTTATGCTCCAACCAGAACAACGAAGCCAGGCGATCAGCTTTGTGGAACACAGGATAGATTCTAGGTGTCTCCTCTAAAGTTCTCCTTGGCTTAAGTACAAAGGAATGGAGGTAACCTTAACCTTAGTGCAATGTCCTTGAGAGCTTCTATCATGCAACCTTTATATCCATCTCTTTTCTAAAACACCTGAGTGAGGAAAACAGCTCATTACCAGGCCTCTGCAGAGCTTAATCACCTACTGATGAGGGAATTCACTCATTTGTTTCTCTTCAGCTCAGCCCAGAGTTTGCCCCCCAGGGTGTAGTTTTGGGACATGGAGTGATCATGTAAGAGAGTTAATTTAGTTTCTGTCTAACCTTTTCTGTCTCAGCATTGTCATAGGTTCAGAATAATTATCCAGTAGAAAAATACCAAAGAAGAAGAACTGTCAGTTTTCTGTCCAAGGTGCCCTGTTTTCGTTCAACCAATGCCTTCATTGTAAAGACGTCCAAACGCCATCTACTGTGACAAACTTCCTTGGTTCTTTGGAACAGCATCAGGTGCTCTGCATCACAGATCTGCTACTTGCAATTAATGGTCTATATCATCCTTCTTAAGTCAACTTCACTTAAAGCTAAATATATGATGAAATTATACCCGTTATATCAATTTGTTATGAAATAAAGCTGTTTTCTTCCAATCCTGAAACCATGCACTTGTTTTCATTGTGAAGCTGCCTCTCAGAGAGTTCTCATGGCCAAAAAAAGTTTTTCATTACTTAGACATTAACTAAAAAATTAAAGTTTCTGACCAGTGCATATTAGCTTCACGAAAATATCCCTTTGTCTTAACATTCATCTAGATTAATTTCACTCAACCTCACATTATTCCTCCTCCCTGATCGGAGAGAGTTTAGTTTGTTAACAGTGCAGGCCAAGCCTGGTTAAGGTAGGTTCTTCCTGAAGTGAAATAACAGTTTGAGGTTGATTTTGATAAACAAATACTGTTATAACATAGTTAGAAGCTAAGAAAAGTAATTTTGCAGGATACAGGATCTTTAAAAACGTAAAAAGTTTTTCCAGTTTTAATGCAGATACTCTACCTTCCTCCCTTCTTCATAACCGTGTTCAATTATTTCATGTTTTAAAGGAAAAGTCCGGTCAACAAGGAATAATCAATGGATCATTATTTGTACCTAAAACTGAAACGTTTGCATTGATTTAATAAATTTAGTGTTAATCAGTAAAAAAAAAAAAATTGTCACGATTATTGAGTCCAGTAACGGCCATTTTTGCCCAAATATAGTAACACCTAACTCCTGACATCTTCCGGCAGTGCGGTAAGCCTGGCGCCATTCTAACACAATAATTATTTGTGTTATTTAAAGGACTAATGTCATGCTAATATCTCAGCATGATCTGGAAAAATGAATCCATGCGTTTATTTTTAGTCGAATTGATTAATGCAACGGTGTTTTCACAGGTCTGCCTAAAAAGTGGATCAGACAGCTGCAGCTGATCCAGAACGCTGCTGCCCGTGTCCTCACTAAGACTAAGAAAGTAGAGCACATCACCTCAGTTCTAAAGTCCTTACACTGGCTCCCTGTATCTCAGAGAATAGACTTTAAAATACATCTGTTAGTCTATAAATCTCTGAATGGCTTAGCACCTAAATACATCACACACTTGCTATCAGTGCATCAACCCTCCAGACCACTCAGGTCTTCTGGCTCCAGCCTGCTCTGCATACCTAGAACCAGAACTAAACATGGAGAAGCAGCATTTAATTCCTATGCTCCACTTATCTGGAACAAACTTTCAGAAAACTGTAAAAGTGCGGAAAGCCTGAGTTCCTTTAAATCAAGACTAAAAACACATTTGTTTAGGATTGCCTTCGACTGTTCTAGATAAACAGTTCAACTAAAACATATTTTCTTTAGTCCAACTGTTTTTAATATTTTTTGTTTCTGAATTTTTTATTTTATTTTATTTTTCTTCCTGTATTTTAATAATGTAAAGCACTTTACATTGTCTTTATACTGAATTGTGCTATACAAATAAATTTGCCTTGCCTTGCCTTGCCTTATGTTTTCAAGATGACTTGGATAAAAGCGCATTGGGTCAAACACCAGGTACAGCACTGGGACTTGATCAAAACATGGATGTCTCCAGTAAAGCACATTTAAATTATTCTTAATTAAAAATAATTATCATTTATCAAAGAGTATGTAATAATTTAAAGCACTTTTAGAAGTTTGTATTCTGAATATGACCGAACTTTTACTTTCATGTCTTTCTTGTTATTAACTATTCATGTAAAAATAGCTTCTTAACTTTGGCAGCTACTCCCATTTGTAAAGCAGTGTTCACATGATGTTGCAACAATTCATAAACCATGGTGATTCTAATGATGGTCCCAAAGCATGCACAGTTTGGGATCATGCTTAAGGGGGCTCTCTACACCAGCAGTGAACCGTTAAAAACTCGCTCCGCCATCCATCACTATGAATTCCGGGCAGACGAAATGGAAAGTCTCACCTCTGCTCTCCGCCTCTGACTGCTCTCTGTCTGGACTTGTCTTAATTGCACAGGTTGGACGACTGAGCAGAGGATGAGATGAGATGCGTGAACAGATCCTCATCAGATAGAAAAACTTTGGCAGGTGGACATTAAACACCAGCTGTTCCCTCTAACATTACATATCATTCGACAAGTTGATAACAGACGTCTGCAAGGGTGACAGAAAGAGAATCCTCATAAAAGCTGCGGAAGAGCGAGGAAACCAGAGGAGCCGTCCCAAATGAACTACCTGACCTTAACCTAAAACTTTCCTCTGCGGCTTTATTTCCCCGGCCATTGGTTCCTTAATGCATATTAATGGAGAAACCAGAGGAAATACCAAAACCTGGGGGTGAGGGGAGCCTTCAACTTGGATCGGATCACGTCCAAATTTACATCTGGTTTTCCTACAATCTATAGGGGCAAATGCATTATGCTCACTTGTACTTTTGGAAGCTGTGCTAGTCTTCAGGAACATCTCTGGAAAAGGTTGGGTGCATGAGTGTGAGTGGGTGTCTGCAGCATGAGAGTGCAAGGGACACAAAGCAGAGAGAGGGAAGCAATCTAGATAAAAAGAGACAAACATGCAGATAAAGGCTGTGAAAGTCAGGGAAGCTTAATGACCAGCTGCTAAAAACAGAGAGCAAGTGATCCTGGGAGAGGATCTTATCTGTGTAAAAAACTTATTTTAGTTTGTAGGTAAGGAAAAAAGTTTCCAAATGTGGAATATAGACTCAGCTCAATTTTCTGGAACCAACTCAGCTGGTTTTGATCTTCCTTCTGGGATAAGTGTTCTTTCACTTATACAGAATAACCCAAGGCTTCATTGGCACCAATAACAGAGCTCATACTGCTGTCCATGACTTATGTATAACATATACAGCCCAGCCTGCCTTAAGCATCAATGTGCTTTCATGCAATCACCTCCTAACATCTGATGAAGTTTTAAAGCAAGCAGGGTGAATGTTTCTGGATAATAAAACCACCAAAAAAAAAATAAAAACTTTTCATACCATGTTTTGCTCTTTCTCTCTGTGAGAATTTGCATGTCTGGTTTCTTCGTAGCCACTTCCTTCTCCTGAAGCCTGCGGAAGCCAATCACATGTTTAATTCATGCTTTACAAAACATTTTCTTTGCAGTAAAATAACTGCATCTTGAGCACAAGGCTGATAAACATATTCAGAGATGTTTTAATTGCCACGCTGCATAAAACTGCAATGTAAATAAGTCATTTTTTCTCAAGATACGTGCTTTTGAGGTGAAATAGGAAAAAACACTGCATTGTCTTATTTCAAGTGCATATTATCTAATTATCTTACTTTTATTCCATTGGAAAATCATCTTATTTACCTACCCAAATTAGGGGTTAATACCCTTAATTTAAGACATTTTGCTTATTTCTAGATAGTTTTTGCAGTGCATATTGCTGTATTTATCATCTATGTTCCTATTCCATTATTTTTTGGTCTAAAATAATCCTTTAGTTGAACAAGATGTCTCTTCTAACTTGAAGGGACTTGGATCGCATCGGTAAGATCAGGGAAATAGGAAGGAAATCTTCAACCTCCACGATATGAAGAAAAACACCAAAGAATACTGGTGGAAAACAAAATACTAACCAGTCATGAAAAAATGCAAAAGCAGACATAATTAAGTAAATTATTCATGAAATAATGGTATTTGCCCATGTTTGCCAATAGAATAAGATGATGTATGTTAGAAATAAGAAAAAAACAATCTATTATCTTATTTGAATGTAATTATCTTTTTATGAAGGAAAGTGCATTCATTCCATTGGCAAACTGCATTTTAGCTCCTAATTAAGGCCAATTACACTTATTTTAAGAATTTAGTACTTATTCTTTTAGATTAGTTTGTTCACTAAATTATTGAATTGCTCTAAAGCTCATAAAAAAAATTAACTTATTGTAATTCACCTATTTTTAAGAGTACAAATCCATTACAAAGGCAATGACTTTCATCAGAATGTTACTATAATTACAGATACTTATGGTTTTTAAGTGAATTGATCAGAATTGGGTCGTTGAGTGAAAAAGTAAGTTATGGGTCACATGCTGTTCTGAAAAATAACTTTCTGGTGTTTGTCCCTTGTTGTATAAATGCCCCTGGTTAAGAAAGATGTACCTTAATAAAAGTTTCAGGACCAACCAGCTATAAATCTATCATTTTTTTTCCTGTTAGTATTCATAAACAAATAATAATAATGATTGTTAAGGTTAAAAGTTTATCTGTAACACTTCATATCTTCCTGATTATTGTTTACAAAACATCTTAACATATGATGAGAGCAGGAGATGAAGTCAGGAGGAGTTTAATGTGGTTTTAAGAAGCAGAACAGCTGTGATTGTTTCATTAAATACATGCTCAGGCTGTTGGTGGGCTGTGGTGAAGCACCTGTGTTTGAGTGTGGGTGGTCAGGGTCAGGAGAGCTCCCCTCTCTAACAGCGGGGGAAATACTTTAAGTTTCTAATCTTCTGCTAATTCTTACAAATACACAGCCTCAAATTTTCATGGTGGCTTAATTATATTGTACATCCATGTGTAAAAGGAATTAATCCCTAAAAATATGCTCTGATTTGCTCGTCTCACTGATAGCTTATGAACATGGAACAAATGTAGTGGATCAATTAAACTGAGTTAATTAACACTTTTCAAATGTTAATTTATTTATAAAGAGAATTTATCAAAACCACAACGCAACATCATTCAGGTGAAACCTGAAAAAAACCACCATTCACCAATGTCCTGAAGAAGCAAAGCAGCCCCAGAGCATCATAATACCACCACCGTGCCTCAAATAAGGTATAATAATATTTTTATTTGAAAAAGTTTGTTTTTTTTAGACCTGATATGAAGGAACATGCTTAACAAAAAAGGTCTGGGTTTGTTTCATAAGTCCAGAGAACATTTTTCACTTATTTTTGCTAAATGTCAGACATCCTTTGATGCTCTTTTTGGTCATCAGTGGTCCTGGTCTTAGTATTGTCCCCATTGAGCCCACTTTTTCCCAGTCTCTATTTTCTATTATTGTGACTAAAATGGGGTACTTAAAGCCAACAGAGCATTATCTGATGTTCTGGGTTCTTCTGTGAATGCCTGGATTAGTTAAAATGCTCTCTTAGAGTGATGTTTAGTAGGCCACACATGGGAAAGTTTACCACTGTTTCATGGTTTCTTCAATTATGGAAAATGGTTCTGCTGTGGTTCTCTGGAGAACCAAAGCTATTGAAATATCGTTTTTAAGGATAGATGTTAGCTAATTTGTTTCCACAACATCTTTATAAATTGGAAAATCCTCCAATCAATGGTTTTGAAATTTTAACACAAAAAGGTCAGCTGTAGAAAAAAAACATTGCAGTAAAATAAACTAGAGTCGCCTTTAAAATCACACAATCTCCCCTTTGAAAGTATATCTTTTTTTATTCTAAAAAATTATTTTATTATTTAACAGAATTCCTCATTTCCATCAATATATTTTTTAATTGTCTCTTAAAATTGGACATATTCAGTTTACTTCTACAATTCCTCTTCCTGCAATTACCCTAATCCCCCTCTAGGAGGTGAACCCCTCACTTTGGTAACCACTGCTTTATTCTATCTTCTAGCCTACTTCAAACAGTAAGATGGATTCAGTAAAGGAGATTTCCTGGTTCTCTGGGTCAGGCATCAACCATCAGACATTGTCGGTTGAATAAAAAAAGACCTAACTTACAATGTAGCCAAAAAAAAAATATATATATATATATTACCAGAATAATAATAATAATAATGTTATCGAATATGGATTAAGTCAGGCCCCATACCCCCTACCCCAAAAATAAGGATCTCATTTTCAATTATTTTTTGGGACATTTGCACAATTAGTAAATAATCCACACATGAATAAATTAACTGATTAATTAACTGACGAGTAAATGTTGAACAATCAGTAATACATTGTCCTGCATCATATTTACAGTAGGGGTTATTTGCTCAGCCTAAGCTTCAGCAGATGGACATTTTAACTTGATTATGTTGAGTTTAGAGTCAGGAAGATGTTATTCAACAAGAAATACCTTCCTTAACCTTGTGAAACGAAACATGTGCTGCTCCATCAGAGGAGCCGCAGAAAATGAAATGCATACAGTTAGTTATCTCCAAAAATGTGATTAGATTGAACTCACCATATCCGAGTCATCGTCCTCCTCGCAGAGCCGCTCCGCAGCACGGGGGTCTCCCACCACCCTCAGCTCACTGATCGCACCCTGAAACACAACACACCTCCAGTGTTTGATGTGCAATGGGACATATAATCATTCACACACAAGAGGTGTTACTCCGGACCTTATAAACAGGGATGTTTGTTTCTTAGCTTGTTGCTGTGGTTTCCAGACATTCCTGGGAAATTCCCTGTCTTTGCTAAATCAGTGGATCCGTTGAAGTCTTTGATTTTAGCCTGTATCTGTGGAAAGCGCTTCTATTTGTACCTCAAACATACAATCTGTTAATCTGATGCTGTGAGACCCCCTCACACTCACAGCATCCATCATATCTGCTTTGCTATCAATGAGCCATTAGCAGAGTCTGTGGGGGAGCTTTGTCCCCGACTGTGTTTAAAGACGAGTCTTTGGTAAAAAGAATTCATTACCAGTGTGAAGCATTAAAAAAGAGTTTATCCAAATTCAGCAGAAATTAATCTCCTATTTCAACCCTCTCTGTGTAGAGCCTGTTATGGCTGAATTTGGGCAGACCTTTTCTGTTAAGGGGCCAGATGATCCGTCAGATTTTCATAATAAATCATAAGACTGTTTTTAAAAAAAAATTCAAAATAACTCATTTTCTGGTTTTTTATTTATTTATTGGGAGGGAACCAATATCTAAAGCATCTTTAACAGATCATTTTGTTGAAAAAAATTCAGCCCTAAACAAAAACTAAGTTTTACTACCAGGACTGCTGGAGTTGTGAAGGCCTACAGTAAATAAAGTCTAAGCTTCCTTGAATGTTTTAGAACTTCAAACCTTCCCAGACTTCTTTAATCTCAATCATTTTAAGTCCCTTTGTGGCCTATAAATAATAACTTAAAACCAGTTAGTAACAGAGTTTGGCCACTTCATAAGAAAACAAACAAATATTGTATTGCTATCTATGTAGGATCCTTTACTGATTAAAGCCTCCATCATCCTTTAATGTTCAGCTATGGTACTGGGATGTTGTGCATTTTATCATTCAAATCTGACACCATTCGCTGTTTGTTTGAAATTCAACAGCCCAATAGGAAATGATCTATGCTTTGCTTGGCTTGTTTTTTTGTTTTTTTTTTTAATCTGGAAATAGTTGTGTTTGATTTAAAAGGATTGATATTTTGTCTGCTGCAAGGTACCTCAATAGAAACAGGATTTAAATAACGCAAAGCATCAACCTTAAAGGGTCTCAAACACCATGTTTCAAACAATTAGGTCTAGTGTTAATTCATGTCAATATAGAGCTAAAAAAAGTATCCGGAGTTGGTATTAGAGTGCGTTATAAATAACCCTAGCATGGTATGCATGGTATGGTTTACACAAATATTTAAAAGCTTTGTTTAAAACTATTTCCTTATCAAATATTATAGATATATGTCAAAAAAATCATTAAAATGAATCAATTAGAGCTAAGATTTTAATAGAGAACTGTGATGATTAAAAAATATGGCTCTCACATAACTGTGAAAACAAAGAAATTATATAAAAATGCATCCATCCATCCATCCATCCATCCATCCATCCATCCATCCATCCATCCATCCATCCATCCATCCATCCATCCATCCATCCATCCATCCATCCATCCATCCATCCACTAAAGAAATGCAGAAAAATGGCGGTTAGGCTTTTGAATTCCAATCAATGGTTAAAAATAATGCAGAAGTCCTCCGAAATTATTACATTTGGTCACGGAAAAGGTTTGTGTCCCTTGACAGAACATAATTTAAACATATCTATAACATTTCTTTAAAAAAAATGAACATCTTTTCTTTTAGGAGTGATGTAGAGATCCTAATTACTGAACAGTCACAGATTTCCCAGACCAAGTGCAGCCCAAACTGCTGAGGTCAACTGTTGTAGTTAATTGTTAAGAATAACAGTCAGCTGACTGATGGTAATGAGATTAAATCAGGGAGGTCTTCCAGTTCCTTATAGTGGAATGGGATACATTTGCATGCTTGGTGTCAAACTGTTTCAAGCTATTCGATCACATGAGAATCATCAGATTCACATTTTTATTATGGCAACAGAAAATCCAAACACAGAGCGGGTCTTGGCCAAAGGTCTGTCTCATCACACTGAATGTTTGTGGACTGAAGGCAACGGAAGAAGACTGATTACATTTAGATGTTTTTTTTTTTGCTCTTTTTTTCTCCAATTTCTCAAACATAACCGGATATACATACCTGAAATTTATCGGGAAATTCTCCCCCAGCTTGACCTACAAACACACCGGAACCACTTCCTAGGTTCATCTCATCAGGGGATCTCTCCAATCTTACGCTCCGAAGCCCTCCATCGCAGTTAGGGTAGAAGGCCACTAGGTTGTCGTTTACAGCGATAGCAAAACGGTTCCAGGTGTCCTTCATGGAGGGCACCGGGAAACTGGCCGCTTCGTAGGACCGCTCTGCACCCGGCTGGCTGTAGTAAAAAATGACGTTCTGCTCGCCACCCTGGACTTTTGACAGTTTGACCCCCACATGCATGATCTGCTGCGAGGCATCTGTGATGGCGAAGATGGTGCCGGCATCATCAGAGGTTGGTTTCACGCTGAAGATGAGGGCAAAGTTTCTGTAGAATGGGTTGGGGAAGTGTGCACGGGCAAGTTGACCCGTGGTGGAATCTGGACCGAAGAGGTAAGCGGGGCTGTTGTCCGGTCCGTCCACCTCTGGAATACTGTCTGGAGGAGGATCTCCGATTAGCTTCAGCAGCGAGACTCCTTTGTCTTCTGGAGAAGAGAAGCAGAATGTCAGTTTAAGTATTAAAAGTCACTGGTTAGTGATTATAGAGGCGGGCTGCATAACAGAGCTTGGTGTTAGACCACAAACTGTAAGGCTTTGGGATTGAGGGATGAGGATGAAGCAAACTGGATCCAAAATAAAAAACAGAAACACCCAGAGGATTATTTCTCCAAAATACTTGTACATTTATGCAAAAAATTTGTAATTTGTAACTTCTACCAATTCAGTTTTCTTCTTCTGGTAGCTAGAATATATTTAAGTCAATTTAGAACCAAAATTTGTAATTCATTTTTTATATTTGGAAGTGTTTAGATTACTTTGTTAATTGTTAGACCATCTCATTAATTTGAGTAACTAAGAACACACCAGAATGTGGATTGTTTTGTAAAATAATTTTTTGACCACTTTATTAGAGCTTTAAACATTAAATTAACATTATTTTTCATTTTCACTAAGTTTCAACACAGTTTTAGGTAATTATTTTGTCTTTGCTTTTACAATAAATAAGTCAAGTCAGAAGTGCGTACAAAGCCAAAAACCGCCTGTTACCGCCCACAGCCTTTGTTGGAAAGTTTGGCATTTTTGGAACATAAGGCCGCAAAAATACTTTTTCCACCTTTACTTAAAAACATTAAAGTGGAGTTCTGACTAAAGGATAGCTGTTAAATCAGCGATTAAAGCGGCTGTATCTCAGAGGAAAGAGCAGTCATCTATTTAATGGATATAGGTTTAAGAAATGTATGATTGGACGAATAAGACCCTTAATGTAAAACTCCTTTGAGTCATTAGCATGCCTAGAAATAGCCTTGTGAGACCATCCTGATCTCGCAAGCTTTCAAGATTTCACTCGCTAATCAGTCTGGAGGCTCTCCATAGAAGAAAATTTCGAGCCGTTCACCAAACGAACGTCCAATCAGCGTTGGCTTTGAGGCGGGTTGAGGTGTGACGCAACGAGAAGCGTGACAGTTCAGTCTAAAGAACATGACGGCTTCAGCCGATGAAACTAGTGTTAGCTTGGCTATCAAGCAAGTTTTGTCAGAATTACAGAGTATTTCTTCACTGAAAGAAGAGCAAAACACTGCTCTGGAGGCTTTTCTCAGAGGAAAAGATGTTTTTGCTCTTCTCCCGACTGGTTTCGGCAAGAGTAGCCTGGCTTGTGGTTGTGTTTTCGTCGTAGCTCTGTTAGTACGTCACATGCTTCGTTGATCTGATTGGTTTATTTGGCCTGTCTATCACCAACATAGGCCAATCAGCTAACCAGTATTTTCGCCCCTTCCCAAAATTACTTCAACGGAAGGTTTCCAGATGGATATGCGGAGCAAATCCATCTTGCGGAGTCAGGTTAGCCTAGAAAAGCCCTATTTATCATTTAGGAATGAGAAAAACATTTTATTTATAAATTCCCCTTTATCAGAATGTGCTTCAGGGTTAAAAAGACAATAAATAAATATATATATATCATATGACATCTGCTGAAAAATATAATTTGTGGTATGATGGTGCCACCACCATGCTTCGCTGAGAGGAAAGCAAGTTCAAGCTAATATAAATTGTTGTTGTTTTTCCAGTTCAAAATTATACTTAGCATTATGTTGGTCAATTACTTAAACTTGTAGCATATAATAATATTCAAATGTTTGTTGCAATTCATGCTTTTTCACATGAAATAAAAACACACTCTCTGCATTTTCTTTTTTCTCTATGATTAAGTGTTTATTAGCTGAATGGGTTTTAGAAATGTAACTGCATGTAAATGTGCTTGTAAATGTGCTTGACATATACTTTTTATGAAAGCTTTCATCCCTAAAGTAGACAGCTCTTTCTTCAAAAATAAGGACTTAAAGGCTTGAAAAGAAGATTACAGAAATGACTGCCTTTGGATGGTATATGACATATTCTGGGAGCTTTGAAGAAGTGTTTTGATTTACTGCCTGGTGAAAAATAAGTGCCTACGTCGCTAGGTTCAAAGCCTCCACCGACTGTCATAGCGGGAGATCAACAGCTCAGGCATTGACTTTGTTCCGATCTCTAAGAAATATAAAGCTCAGCTGAACCCCAGATTGTCCTTTCTGCTATGAAACCATAAACATCAGCTGCGATCTGTCAGAGGAATAAAGACGCTTTCATTGGAGTTTGGCCTGACAGAGAGGCCAGTCAGGCTGGAACAGGACAGCAATAAAACCCTTCCCATAACGCAGATGTTCTCTGTTCCATGTTTTTGGTTTCTGAGTGAGAAGATTGTACTGCTACCATCTAAATACAGTGACTTCTGCATTTATTGAATCCCAAATTTAAAAAAAGGGTAAGAAACCTTAACCCATTAAAGCCTGGACCATGAAACAATTCACAGAAAAATCTTTAGACATAAAAAAAAAAATATTTTGTATATATTAAATAAGATAATTTATTTGCATCAATTTTGATGCATTAGGCATTTCTGTATGTTCTTTTATACGTTTTCTGTTCACTACATGTGTCTTTTTGTTTAAGTCAGGGTTTTCCAGGATGAATAAATCTCACTGATGATGCAGAGGTCTCAAAAATGATCATAGCCAATCGCATCAAATAAATAAATTGGCTTTAAAAGGTTAAAATAAAACCTATTTTTTTATTGCAGCAGGATAATATCACACAGAAAAATTGCTACAGTTCTTTAACAGAAAGTTCTGGTGATTTTTCTACCTATTTTATTATTCTGCTCCACGTGTTCTGTTAGCCTTAATCATTTAAGTTCAAGTAGGTTTAAAACTTTTTAAAAACAATAGACATGAGACAGTTTTGCAAGAACATAATTTCTTGCACTAATTTTCGGACTCGTTAAGATTGACACCAAGTGAATTTAATTTATCCATATGTTCTCTTTTATTTTGTCAAGTTTAAGGAAACTAACATGAAGGGCAGGGATGGAAAATCAGTCCGTGGTGGGCCAGTGTCCCGAAACATTTAGATATGTCCCCTCATCAGCACATCTAAATAAGTTAGAGATTTGCGGGACTCTGGACAACCTGTATATTGAAGATGTTATCCAGCCATTTCATTTAGTTGTGATGGATCAAGGACACATCTTTTGGAATGTTGCTCTCTGTCGGGTGGCACCATGTGTTCAGGGTGCAGGCTGAATGGTTTACATTGCTTTTTTTTTTTTTCCATATATGTGCAGGTAACGCGGTAAATGGGTTTGAAAATGCTTACTGACAGCGTAACCAGTGTTTGTCCTGAAAGGTGTCACTGCAAAATATGTAGATCTAAGTACACTGGAAAAAACGAATTCTACATAAGTCATTTTTTCTTAAAATAAATGCATTTATTCTTTAATTGAGGAGGTAAAAGAAACATTTTGCCAATGGAACAAGACTATTCACACTTAAAATAAGGAAACACAATTACATTGTCTTATGTCAAGTGCATTTTATCTAAATATCTTATTTTAAGAGTAAAAATACTAATTCCATTGGCAAACTACCTCATTTACCTACTCACACTAAGGGTAAATACACTTAATTTAAGAAATGTTTACTTATTTCTAGATAATTTTTCCAGTGCAAATTTCTTTTTGTTTTTAAATAAGTGCATTTTTGCTTGAATTGAGCAGATTATTGAGACACTTTGACAATAGAACAAGAACATTTGCATTTAAAATAAGAAAAAAACAACTGCAGTCTCTTATTCCAAGTGCATAATATTTAATTATTTTATTTAAAGAGTAAAAAAGCTATTTCCATTGGCAGATCATTTTATTTTCCTACTCAAATTAAGATTAAATACACCTATTTTAAGACATTTTTTACTTATTTTCAGAATGTCTTTGCAGTGAGAACCTTGGGTGAGGGAGCCCAGATGTCAGTCAAAGGGGTGATATGCTCATTAACAAGTTTAGTGTACATAAAAAAAAAGTTCTGTGAAAGATAATGCTGCTATATTAAAATCATAATGTTCTAAAGCTTTTTCACATTTCTTTTTAACAGGGCACAATAACAATGTGAAGGATCAGTCTGTCACCACAACTGCCTTGAGTAAACAATAAAAATTTTTTTTTGATGCATTACTGTTGTTTTTATAGTAAACCATATTTACAGCTTATTTCTGTCACCTAATTCAATATAGGTATGTAACGTGACGAAATAAAGTAGCTAAATTAGTTAGCTTAATTTAAAAATAAACCACTTTTTTACTATGATATATCAACTCAAATAAAAATATATTTTTCCGAGTTTTGAAACTTTCAACAGAAGCAACAGTCAGACTGACAAATGGTGTTGTGGTATAAAATTTAAGTTAGGTGAGCTGTTCGAGTTTAGATTATGCAGAGTCCTTGACGACTTGTGACAAACAGTACAGTGATCTGAACTAATAGACTATTCCAGCCCTCTGGACACACCACCAATAGTGAACATGTGGTTACATTCCTGCACATTTAAATATATATATTTTCTGTATTTCTTTGATATTAATTTCTGTAGTCACCAATAACTATTGAAAACTTTCAGTCATAAAATGTAATGTTTGGCTTCGTTAGCACAGTCGTATTTTGTACAAATCAGCCTTCAACTGACTCAAATCATCGGATCTTATGACCCAATTGGTTAAAAATTTAGTTTTAAGTCAACAGAATAATATAAGAAACATTATGTTATATATGATACTAAGATATTGGCTTTTAACATATTGGTTTCAAAAGAATATTAAGGAATTACACAATTCTTCCCATTTATACATTACACAGATTTTTCGTCTGATGTCTTATATTTGGGTAAAATAAAAGGAACTGTACATTTTAAGACCTTTATAATTAAAAACAAAAATAAAAAACTGGCGGGTGACTTCTCTTCTTGATACAGTGGTTTACCTCAAATTATCAGTAAAGCATCCTGACAAACACCTTGTAAAACAATCCACTTGAATAGTTTGAATGAGGCCCAGATTGAGGAGCTCTCAGGTACGCTTTGGCTGCTGCATGAATGGCAGTTAACAATAAACAGTCATTTGC